CCCCAAAAAGCAAAATCACTTTTGTTCTGATCTCCCATTTCTGCGTCGTGACAGTTTTATTATGGTGATATATTATCCCGTGTTTTATTTTGTGAAATTTTTAAAGAAAAATCTGAATTTTGCGTGAATATTTAAAAAAAAGAAAATTTTCGCTTTTATTTAATTGCATAATATTGCTTGGTTGATATATCTCGCCTGCGTTTTTGGGTTAAGTGTTTAATGGATATTTAACTAATCTTTTTAAAAAAATTTTTATAAAGTTTGTGCACCGGTTTGTTTTGCAGTACTCAATTTCGACACTTAAAAATGCTAATGACTGATGTGTGGCGATTCGTGTTCTGAATGATCCCGAAAAGAAAATAAACATACTGGAGTGAACTACAGGGCAGCTTCATTTTCGACTGCCACAGTGCTTACCAAAACACACTTCTGAGATTGTATAAATATCAGGAAAATGTTGACCCTCGAAAAGGCAAAAAAAACGCTTTATATTGGGCAACCAATTGTTATTAGAACTTTGTCTTAAATGATGAAGGTGTATGGTAATAAATGCTAAGTGTTCAATTTAATAAATAAATGTTATTCGTGATAAAAATAATACGAAACAGCCCTACAATATCCTCATTTAAAAACTGTCTTAAACAAGGACAAAAAAATATACACCAACATACTTTTTATACAGGTAGTCGTAAACTGCAGGTCCTTTTACACTCGCAGCGCATTAAATCACCACCTGTTTTTTTTTCTTTTTTTTTTTTTTACCCCTTTGTGTAATTGTGGGCAAATTGAAACTACCCAACATTTCTTTTTTCGAGTGCTGTGTATACGATGCCGTCCACAGAACATTCCTCATTAACTTGCAATACTCTAGCATAAACGTTCATAAACTCCTCTATGGTGAACAATCTCTTACATACAAGGACAACGTTACTATATTTACAAATGTACAAATTATATAGAAAAAAACGAAAAGATTTACTTTGATCCATTCTTATTGAGACTGTAATCCTCTCTCGCCCTCTTTCTTCCTTTCCCCACTATTTTGTGTTTCGTCTTTTATATATATTCATACATTTTAGACATCAGCTTGTGGTTAATCTATTATATATAAGTTTATATATAAAAATATAATTATATCTGTGTATAACTAATACTTGTTCCCTTGCCTAGTATATACATGTATTAACTAATGACTTATTAAAGACAAACCATATAGTTCCCCAAAGGAGAAAAAGTCTATAAGACTGGTCTTTCATTCTCATCCTTTTCCATTGTGTAAAAATATTTTGTTATGTATTTGTATGTACATTTTCGGACAATTTGATCTAGTTTTCCCAAAAATTGGCCATATTCAATTTCAGTCCAGGTATAAATGAAACAATTTATGAACAAGAAACACCTTACCCCTTTCCCTCCTTGACAAATTAAAAAAGATATATATTTACAAAATTTTAATTCTTTTAGAACCTAGCAGGTTCTTTCTAAATGTCTTACAAAAGATGCAAAATTATGCGAGTTTGTTCAACTTTACGCATATATTCTCAATAAAGTAAATATTGTCAAAATATTCAAATAATCGTAAACAGAAATAATAATTGTACGTTTATGATATTTACTAACTTTCAAAGCGCCTTATTTGTTAAGTATCAGGCAATTTTTGAAGAAAAAATGTCTAAAAAATAGAGCTGATGTTATTATTGACAGTAAAATTTGCATTTATATATGTAAGGTTTGCTTTCATCAAACTGTTCTAGTTTCTACGTATTCACGGCTATCATAAATATAGTGGTGTTAACAGCATAATAATCGGTATGTCAAAGTTATCTCGTGGAAACTATAAATTTTACTTTATTGCCTTTTTATTGACTGTAAACAAATATGTTAATTTTTAGACCTGTTTTTGTGTGATAATAGATTGAATAAACATTGAAATATCCAAAAAGGTGGGACAGACTAGAATGAAAATAAGTGTTTTTTTTTTTAAACTTCTGCGCCGTACTTTATGTGCACAAAAACGTTTATGTCATACCGCATAGCATTCCTAAGGCATTCAAGTGTGTTAAATCATTTTTATCGACGTTTTAGGTTTCTTTTGTGTTTAAAATTAATATATTTTAATAATTCGGTTTTGCATGCTCTAATAATTTGCTATTTGTCTCAGTTGTTGCATAATTTTAGTGATATTATGAGTTATTTTATATATTATTATCATCGACGGAACCCAAAATACACGTTCGATATTGGAACCATTGGGTCCTTCTCATGAATGATCTTGAACAGTAAACACTATCCTAGAAATGAGCTGTGTCAAAACTACAAAACAAACATAGTGCGTTTGCGATCAACATGGATCCAGAACAGCCTGCGCATCCGCACAGTCTTATCAGGATCCATGCTGTTTGCTTTCAAACTCTATAACAAGTAGAGAAACTGATAATCAGTATGGATCCTGATCAGACTGTGCGGATGCGCATGCTGGTCTGGATCCATGCTGGTCGCAAACGCACTATGTTGGTTTTGTCGTGACCCAGCTCATTTTTTTTTTTCAAATGAGAGTGCTGATATATTTAAAGATCTTTGCCATATATGTTGATATGGTATAAAGTAATTTTATATAATAAATGATACTGCAAATAGTCCTAGCGGTCTGTACCTTGTCTATATTACGTAATTTGAGGAAAATCCTGTTTATTGCATATCTTTCAAAGTAAAGAGTAAATTAAAGAGGCGACAACAACTGTCAGTTATATTTAAATGTGTTTGTTTAAGTACCATTGAGGTCATTTCCTTTTTGTGTGTGTGTTTACAATATTATTTGATTGAAATGTAGCTCTCATTGCTTAGAAAAGAATTGTTATTGTTTATCAAAATGTTATCATACACGTACTTACATACTGAAAAACAATGATAAATTAAATAAGGTAAGGAGCGTTATCAAGATCTTATTAAAATACTTCACGCTGAAAAAAATCACATGCAACACGATTATCTTATATAAGAGGGAATGTGGCGTGTTTTTGTATGGCGGGTGAAATATCTAATTTATCAGTTTCTGCGTGGCGGCTTTTATCTTGTTCATCCCGCCACGCGAAAAAGGTAGATTTAAGTGTCAGCCACCATACAAGGGACATTTAAAAGTGTAAATTGTTGTAATGTTCGTTTATTAATGAACAATAAGTAATAGAAATTAAATCAAGTGCATTGATACAATGAAGTGAAGTAAAACACGACGAGTGTTCAGCACAAGATATAAATTTATTCTGTAAACCCTTAACATGTGATCTTAGATGTGATCTTAGATTTACTAGAAATACGGAGCATGCGCAAACAAGCATTTTACATAGGTCAGCTCAAGTTCATTATGTACGATGATACTACATCTCCCTGTTTTTAAAATAAAAAATAAGCAACACATGTTAATAAAATTGTATATGATAATAAACAATTATGATGATTAAAAATGCATATACATACTGAAGAGAACAATTTAAATAGTGTTAAAGTCACAAAGTTTTGTTTTTTTATTATCATTACTATTATTTTATTTCTGTTCTCTCTCTCTCTCTCTTTCTCCCTCCCTCTCTCTCTCCTTTCTCTCTCTTTTTTTTCATTATAATGTCTATCAATTCCGGATGATTAATTAACAGTGCTCCATTCATCGGTATTGTAACGTTTATTTGGTTTTACTACTCGACCACTGCGCGTCTGATAACCTGTGCCTGACCTTGTTTCATGGCTAATATTCTGGGAAATACCTGTTTCATTTAAAGGTGCTTTGTTTGAGATTATATCATGAGGATCTTGACCTTGGTGAGAATATTAGGGAAGGACTCTGTATTGATAGGGAACTTTTCCCGCGTTTTGTTTATGAAGCGGCCATTACGACGGTAAATAGCGCCATCTTCAGTTTGCACTTTGTATGATCTCTCCCCTTCTTTTTTTAGAACTATGGCTGGTTTCCAAGTTTTCCTAAATTGCACCCTGCAAGAGTCATCTTTGTTTAGCGGGGGAGGTGACCTAGAAATTTTATCGTAATAGTTCTTTTGCGTAACCTTGTTTTCTTGCAGAGATTTTCTTACAGATTTGTGGTTAATGAAAGATGGTTTCAATTGCTCATTAGTTGAAGGCAAAATGGATTTTAACCGTCTGTCCATTAACAGTTGTGTGGGAGAATATCCGCAGTTTAAAGGTGTGTTACGATATTCCAAAAATGCTAAATATGGGTCTGTTTTAGTCTCCTGGCATTTTTTCATTTTTTTGGCTATTGAGACCATTTTTTCTATGAAACCATTGGATTAATTATACATCCAGGTGAAGATGTTACATGCTTAAAATTCCAGTCAGAAGCAAATTTTTGAAATTCTTCTGAGCTAAACTGCGGCCCGTTACCGCTTTTCAATGTCTCTATTTGACCATAGCGAGCCATATGCATTGTTAATTTTCTAATAACAGTTTTACTTTTTGTTTCTGGCAATGCATCGACTTCAAAGTAAATACTGTAGACGTCGGCAGTTATAAGGTAATCACGTCCGTCAAGCGTAAATAAGTCAGCGGCAATATCTTGCCAGGGTCTTTGGGGCACAATGTGGGGATTCAATGATTCCTTCACATTTGATGCTCTGTGTGTTAGACATAGGGCATGCTAACACGTGGTCTGTGACCTGTTTGACCATGCCTGGCCAGAACATAATATCCTTAGCCCTGTTCAGCGTTTAAGTCACTCCCATATGACCTACATGAACAGTGTTAATCATTTCAGTTCGTAATGAACTTTGAATGACCAATGTTTGACCGCGGAAAATTATGTCATTTACAGTCGAGAGTTCATCCCGATGATTCCAAAATTCTAATATGGAATTCGGGCACTCATGCCTAGATTCAGGCCAGCCGTCAATAATTGTTTGTTTCAGTGACTGAAACTAGGGTTGGATATCGTTACACACGAAACGGTCAGATACCGATATTGACGAAACGATACGGGTATTTTAACGATACTGATACTTTCAGTTTACCTCAATAAGCCATATCAAGATAAATTTCGTTCTTATAGGACTCTCATACATTAAACCTTTCTGCAATTCTAATCTGTTCAAGTATACCTTTAATTGTTATTACTTAATTAGTTATTATACTTAATAGTAATGTAGTATAGTTTTATTGTTTTGCTGTGTTAAATATTAGTATACATGCCCTTAATCACGTAAGTCTATATACATTTTTTAAAATTTTATTCAAGAAACATATCAACATTTTAACAGCTACTAAAAGCAAATAGGTACACCGTACATGTACAAGAAAGAATTCAACATTAACGGATAAACAGTAAGTAAAAACTGATAATTAACAAATGATAATTATGACTAGTTAATGATTTTTGACTAGAAATAACTGTTTAACACATCTTGTAAACACCTTTGACAAACAAGTGATTTCACTGGATTTGAAACAGTATAAAGTTTAGCTGATAATTGAACAGCTACCTTTTATATAGAATATTGGGAATGAAATGTTTAAAAAGAACCTTAACTACAGGAACTATAACTACAGGAACTATAATCTCTTCATCATTATAAATGTTCAACTAGTCAGCATTCTTGTGCAAAAAGATCAACATATCAGCTTTATCAGGATCAATTCGAACACGTTCCTGACTAATAGTATTCCCTGCAAGTGAAAACACTCTTTCTGAAGGTACACTACTTCCAGATATACAGAAATATCTGCAAGCTAAGTCTGCAATAATAGGAAACTTGTCTAAGTGGGCTTTGTAGAAATCCAATGGATTTTCATTTACTTTGATTTTAGGCATACTTCTATATTGTTGTATCTGAGAATGTGCAAGCATTTGTGGTGTTGGTATATCATCAACTCTGGTAACTGTTACATCATCCTCATCATCTGTAAATAACTCTTCAATTGCTGTTTTTTTACATTTCAGGACCGGTTTGACATCTTGACAAAGTTCAACTTGTGACTCTGACTGAGACTGTACAGGCTTATCACAAGGAGATTCTGATGTAACTGATGTACCACTTGCACTATCTAAATCACACTCCTGCTTGATTGTAACAGTAGGCTTTGTAGCTGTCTGTATCATATCTGCAACTTTTAACTCCAAGCGCGCCCATACTTCATTGCCCTGAAGTTTACTTTTAAACCTGTAAATGATAATTTATTTGTAAATGTCAACTTGTCAAGTTTAGTTCATATAGGACAGCATCGTTCAAAGTACAAAGTCCTGTTATATTCATCAGTGAATCTCAATTGTTTATAAAAAATATGTAAGTGGCTAAGTGCCTTTAAGACTTCAAAGAGGTAAGATCATTATAATATTAGAAATCTACTTCGATTGTTTACTTATTTATTATTTAATAACTTTTTTCTTAATATGTCAGCATGAATTTATTACAATTTAATAAACAGCATACTTTCATAAAAAAAATATATATATAAACCTTGGGTCAAGTGCAGCAGCCTCCTCAAGAAAATCAGCAACAGTTGGTTCCTGATAGCGTTTCTGCATGTCACGCCATACTGTTCTTTTGATCAGTTGTTTGAATTCGCTGTCACTCTCTTGGATATTAAATCCCTCTTTCAGTTTATTCCATGTTGGAAACACTTGCCCGACTGTTGGAAGCTTATCTGTTGAGATTGCTTTAGTGCTAGTGTAAAGAATTTTCATTGTCTGTATGAATTCCTCTCCTTTTTGTAGATCTGCATCTGTTATTTTTTCAACTTTCTCTTTTTCTGCTCGTGTTTTCAGTCTCGGATCTCTACATGCAGAACTTAAGCCAGGGTATATCTCTGCAAACCGCTCTACCATAAGGTACATGGAGTTCCATCTGGTTTTGACATCTAGAACAACATTATGGTTAGGTAACTCTAAATTTTGTAATTTTTCTTTCAAAACTACACCAGCCAGATGAACTCTTTTGAACCATAAAACTATTGACCTAATTCTTGCAAGCCATCTTGTAAACGTTGTTTCATTGTAGAGCTTACTTGCAGAAATGTTCATGCTATGGGCAAAACATGGGAGGTGTATGATATTGAGTTTTCTGGCACAAACCGCCATGTTAGCTGCATTGTCTACTGTGATACCTACTACTTTGTCTGCTATTCCAAACTTTATAAGAATATCTTTTATTTCACTTTCAATAGCCTCACCTGTTTGTGACTCATAAACTGCCTTAGTTTGCAACACTTTTGAGTAAAGTGACCAGTTCTTCACAAATTGAGCCGTCACTGTTAGGTAATGATCTCCATTGAGTGATGTCCAATGGTCTGCCGTTATTCCTATGTAAGATACTCCAGACAGCTCTTGTGTCAATTTCTGCACTTCCACGTCATACCAGGCTGGTATATATATTGATGATAAAGTTTCCTTGTTAGGAGGAATGAACTGTGGGTTAAGAGAAGCAAGTAATTGACGAAAAGGTTCACTAGCAATAGTACTAAATGGCAACATGTCTTTTACAATATACCTAGTAATTGCCCTTCCTATGGCTGTCTTTTCATTTTCTGAAAGTTTTTGTTTTTTTGGTTTATTCATTTCTAATAATGTAGCTTGAGCAATTCGCTTTTTTCCTTTTTCAGGATTTGGTGTTGGCAAGGGTGACTCACTTTTACGGTTAAGGTAAGGAACTGATGATTCACTGGGCAGCTCATGTGTACTGGTTTCTGTATCAAGTTGGGGCAGTGGTGGTTCCTCAGGCTGATTCACAGACGTGGATGTGGAGGCAGGGGTTTGCTGCTTGGAATGATGCATACTTTTGCCGGTTGCTGCCCCACTAGCTTCATCTGGAAAAAAAACAACAAAAGCAATTATATTTGACATGAAAATAAATAAAATTAGAATGTATCATTTTTATTTATACACCTTAAAAGAATGCTGACAGCTGACATATTATCACTTTGAAATAATATGATTTATATTCTGTTATAGAATTATAATTCAATAAACAGATTGAATAAAATAGTTAGTTTATTTTATATTTTGCCAGTTCTTAAACGAAAGCAAATTTTTTTCCTAACCAAAAACAAGCTTATATAATTTGGATGACGTAGTTTGAATATTATCCCATTATAGAATATGTATACATTTAGTTTCACTTTCAGTTTCAAACAGTTGAATCAGTTTACAAAAGATAAATCAACAAACAATAATGTGTCTGTACAAATTATGGTTCTGTAAAATATTTTTTGGTAAATCAGTTTCAAAACAAAAGTTAAAAAACAACATATGTATGCCTACCCTTTTGGTTCGCTGCATTTTGTGTTGGTTCAAAGTCAAAAAGTGTGCACCGATTTAAGTTGATATTGTGCTTTAGCCTGAGATGTTTGTTTAGGTTACTTGTGTTTCCACCCTTTCCTTTCACAGTTAGATGACAAATATTGCATGTACCCCCGTCGTCTTGCTTCGAAAAGTAAGCCCACACTTTAGAATTTTTTTGCTCTATTTCCTACTCCCACCATTTTGGTTGCGAAAATATATGACTTGTTTACAATGGTTACACAATAGTTTCGAATCAATTTATTAATGTGTAAATTATTAATCCATTTGTATCAGAAGTCAGTATTAAAGTATTCATAAATGTTGAATGTCAACATTTTTGTCAACCCTTTATTGGTAGGTATTTAACTTTTTTTTTAGAAATAGAATTCGCACTTTTCTGTGTCTAGCTCTGTATACCAAACGGTGCTACTATAACATGCTACCCTGGTATTTAGTTCACATGTTTATTTTCATTGTTTTTTGGCCTCTTTTAAACGAATTTGCTTATTTCTTCTTATTTCTTTCATTTGAATCATTTCTTTTTATTGATTTATTGAAAAAAAGTATCAAAAACAGCACCGGTATTTCACGAAACGGTATATACCGGTAATTTACGAAATTACTATTCGGTACTGGACCGATACCGGATACCGGTGTCCAACCCTAATTACCTCCTTTGAACTTAGATTTTTTAGGGGAAAAATGTTGTCTTTTTTAAATAACTTCTTTATTTCCTAAGGTATCTACTTCAAACTTCATATATGTTTCTTATTATCACTCGACATTTTTGAGAAGGTTAAATACTCTAGCAAGACTATTTCCAGAATTATGTCCCCCTTGAACTTAGATTTTTTTCGAGAAACTGGTATTTTCACTCCAACTTCTTCATTCCTTATAGGATTTACTTTAAAATCCCACATCGTAATAATATGACAAGGTTGTATAAACATAATTTCCTTACTAAGCATGGAAACTTAACACATTACTGTGATATAGACAAACTTAGAACTCAAAAGATTTAAGTTTATTCATGTCATTCATTCACTGGTAAAATTGAATGGCAAATGGCCCATCAGAATGTTGCTGGGGTTCTAACCGGTAGGGGACTTATGGATTGCTTGCAATACTATGATAATTGCTTGTTGTTTACATGATTTAACCTATTTGATATTTACATTATGTTCTACCAAATTCATATTTTTGATATAAAAAAGAATGTTTTATTTTGTCTTGCTTTCAATTCCAAATAATTTTGAAATTATTTTTTTGTATTTCTTCAATCTTGTTAATGTAAGGGTTTATGAGAACAGTAAGTTGTTAACACAGCGCATGTACAATTGAAGAAGAGGATGTCGTAATGAATTTGTGACCTTTCATGACAAAGTTCTTTGCCTGGAGCACAGTGTTTTCAATATAAGATTTAATTGCTTCAAATCTGGTTTGCTATTGCTAAAAACTGTAAAACAAAAAAAGTATTTACATAAATTGGGTTGGTTAAAATATTTCATCAGGCGACTTATCCGACTCTCAGAGTTTTAGTTGTTCTTAATCAGTGCATGCAGGAAGAATTGAACACAGGTACAAAAATGTCATTAACCACGCTGCCTTCTGTATAAACAAGAGATTACTATTGAACTGTTCACATATTTCTAAATTGATTGACTTAAATCCTTGTAGACGAGATGAACTGTATACAGAGAACACAGATATATGCAGATATTCATGAAATGTGTTTGGAAATGGTGGAAACATCCTTGTAGAACCCACTTTCACAAGTTTCATATTACAACGCCTAGCCAAAGCCTTTCATACATATATAGTTACAAATGGCAATTGACATTTAAAACGCTCAACACCAGAACGATTTTACCGCGTTTTCGACTTCAACTTTATATATATGCTCGATAGCAATGGAATAATTTGTGAATAACAATGCCATTAAAACTCTTATACGATCGTCAACATTTTCATGAACCTATCTACAATGGGCCCCATGTTTTTTAAATCAAAACATTGATATATTATCCTGGATTCCGTTTATATTTTTAAAATAGTAGAAATAAGATGTAAATCTGTGTTTAATGAACTGTCATTAAGTAATACATATAATGTTCTACGTTTGCGGAAATGGTCTCTAAATTGCTTATATTTGAATTAAATGAAGTTTTTTTTTTACTTCTACCTAGCTGCAAATCAGTGCCCCCATTACAAAACGCTACCTTAAGTCAGTCAGCTTTGGGAAATCGTACTGTTTGGTTCGATATATTTTTTTAAGTAAATAGATAGATTATGAAATGATATTACATAAAAAGCCATGTTGAGTGTTATATTAACGCTACAGGTTTTAATGCATCATTATTTGTACAACAATTAAATTGCGCTTTTATGCTCTCCGAAAAATTTCGGAGGAGCATATAGTCGTTGGGTTGTCCGTCCATATGTACGTACGTCCCGAATTCGTGTCCGGTCCATAACTTTGTTATTTGAAGTCGGATTTTATAACTATTTCACAGAAATGATCACCATATTGAGACGATGTGTCGCGCATAACATTTGACTCGCTACCTTTAAGGTCAAGGTCACAGCATGACCTTGCAGCAAAATCGTGTCCAGCCCATAACTTAGTTATTTGAAGTTGAATTGAAAAATATTTCACAGAAATGATCACCATATTGAGAAGATGTGTCGCGTGCAACATTTGGGTTGCTACCTTAAAGGTCAAGGTCACGGCATGACCTTGCAGCAAATTAGTGTCCGGCCCATAACTTTGTTATTTGAAGTCGGATTTTAAAACTATTTCACAGAAATGATCACCATATTGAGCTGACATCTCGCGCCAACATTTGGGTTATTTCCTTGAAGGTCAAGGTCACAGCATGACCTTGCAGCAAAATCGCGTCCAGCCCATAACTTTGTTATTTGAAGTCAGATTTAAAAATATTTCACAGAAATTATCAACATATTGAGATAATGTGTCGGCGCAACATTGGGTCGCTTACTTGAAGGTCACGGTCACAGCATGATCTTGCAGCAGAATCGTGTCCGGCCCATTACTTCGTTATTTGAAGTTGGATTTTAAAAATATTTCACAAAAATGATTTCCATATTGAGACGACGTGTCAAGCGCGTTATTTGGGTTGCTTTCTTGAACGTCAAGGTCACGGCATCACCTTGCAGCAAAATCGTGTCTGGCCCATAACTTCGTTATTTGAAATCAGATTTTAAAATATTTCACAGAAATGATCATCATATTGAGATGACGTGTTGCGAGCAACATTTGACTCGCTTCCTTGAAGGTCACGGTCATAGCATGACCATGCAGCAAAATCGTGCCCGGTCCATAACTTCGTTATTTGAAGTCAGATTTTAAAACTATTTCACAGAAATGATCACCATATTGAGATGACGTGTCACTTGCAACATTTGGGTTGCTACCTTGAAGGTCAAGGTCACAGCATACTCGTGCAGCAAAAATGGTGTCCAGCACATAACTTCATTATTTGAAGTCAAATTTTACAACTATTTCACAGATATGAGCACCATAATGAGACAATGTGTCGCGCGCAATATTTGGGTCGCTACCTTGAAGGTCAAGGTCACGGCATAATCTTGCAGCGAAATCGTGTCCAGCCCATAACTTTGTTACTTTAAGTCGGATTTAACAACTATTTCACAGAGATGATCACCATATTAAATTGACGTGCCGCATGCAGCATTTTGGTTGCTACCTTGAAGGTCAAGGTCACAGCATTACCTTGCAGCAAAATCATGTTCCGCCCATAATTTCGTTATTTTAAGTTGGATTTTACAACTATTTCACAAAAATGATCACCATATTGAGACAATGTGTGGTACACAACATTTGGGTTATTTTTACACTTTGAATATTCTCTGTGACATAACTCTGACACTACAAGAGGTATACCTTCCTGTGTCCAAAACCTATTTGGGGAGCATCACCCGGTTTGACCGGCTATTGTTTATATAGTATAGTTATGGTATTGTAGATGTATTGGATGTTATAATGTATTGGATGGAATAATGTATTGGATGTTATTATTATTGACTTGTTCCCCCAAGTTCTTTCTTACGGATTACCAAAATAGAAATATTGAATTTATATTTTTGTTCGTTATTCTTAAGGGTTTCGTAATAGCTAATAGGGAAATTTTGATATAAACACGTTTCCCATAGTGATGACTTAGTACTTGTGTACAGTGGTTCTCGTAACTATTGTTAAACACTTAAATAAATACACTAGTCACCTGAAGGAATAGAAAGTGCTTATTACTCAGATATTTTTTATGAAAGACATTGGCAATATATCAAAGGGTGCTCGAGAAGTTTTCAGTAGTATATAATTACCTGTCCTCTTATGGAGGGGTCGGAACTCATATATTTATATATAAACTGGTGTCCTTAAGGATTGGTATGACCTTACATATATATACTGGTCCCCTTAAGGATTGGTCTGAACTTACATATATATACTGGTCCCCTTAAGGATTGGTCTAAACTTATATATATATATTGGTCTCCTTAAGGATTGGTCTGTACTTACAAAACATTAAGGGGACCAATTTTTAAGTATATTTTTACTGGATGTTTAAATGAAAAAAATAAACGTCATACAGACTTTCATTATTCTGTAAATATTCAAATCATATTTTCTTCTTTGAAAAAAGTTAAATTTACAATATATACAAATTGTCCACTTTATGCCTAGATTAAAGGATGGTCCACCTAATGTGGAAAATAGTTTTATATATATATATATATATATATATATATATATATATATATATATATATATATATATATATATATATAATATAAAAGCATCATTTTTACCGAAATTGATTTCATGAGAAAAAAAAAGAAAGTTTTTTTGAGACACATATCAGAAAAAGCGTCACTAATTTATTCCCAGCCTGTAACTGTGAGGACGGAATCTTACAAGTACAGTCCAGACGTGAACGATGTGCCTCGATCCACGTCAAATATCCCTATTGTTGAAACAAAGACGCATAAGGTAACATACGAAAAAGACGGCATACCGTATGAAACAGAAGATAGTATATTAATCAGCGCTCATTCAGTGACCACTAAATCACAGACCATCGATACCACTACAGTAAGGGGTGTGGCTTGTTAAGACTGCAACAGTAACTCCCTCTAAGCCAATCAAAATCGAGTATGAGCAGAAAAAGAAATGTAGTAACGCTCTTTTTTGAGAGAATTGTTTTGATATTAAGTATTAAAGACAGTTTGTTTGCTAACATTTGATAGAAATATTGATAATGTTGGTATTAATAGGAATAGACTTAAATTTTCAATTAAATTACCATTTTGGACATTGCCTTTGAGATGATCAAATTTAAATATTAAAATTCAGAATATTTGTTTGCTTGATATTACTTAAAATTCAAACTACCTAAAAAATTTCTGTAGTTCACTATAAGCAATATTATGTTATTGAGTGACCAGTTTAATATTTATTTTTTTATGTGTAAGGTGGCATTCATTTTGAATGGATTAGCTTAAATGCGTGTGTGTCAAAGATTGTGTATTGTAAGTTATTAAGAATATTCAAAACAGTTGTACACATTTCAATTAGCAAATTTTTTTTGTAATTGTTGATAACTGAAAGCTAAGATGGGCAGTTAAACATTGTTGTTAATTTGATTGCGTTTAGAGGGATATTGTTGTGAAAGTTAGCATGGCGCTGGAAATGTCACTTTTTTGTTGTGCATGTTATTTCAAACGCTAGATTTAGTGTTGTCCCACAGTGGAACAGTATAACCAACATTTCGCATGTGTTCTGTCTTATAATGCACATTTTTGCTTATTTTTCTAGAATGAAAAAGAAAAAAAATACTGATTAAAATAACCCTTTTCCTTTCATTTACCACAAATAAGTAGATGTCTTTTTTTGTGTCAATATATGCACCCAGTGAAAACTAACATACCAAGTAGTTGCATAAAAAAAGCTGTATGATTTTGTTTTTAGCGTTAATTTTACAGTTAGGTAGAATTATATTTTGATTATTTGTTCTGCAATTTTGCTTTTGTTTTGAATAGTATACATTGTTATTTTCTGGGGGGTATTTTTTTCTTTGCTTTTGTTTATGTTATATAGGTATATGTATCAGTTTAAATGAATGGTAGGGTGGGAATATTTACATGCAAGTCCAGGGCTTAATGCAAAAAGGTAGTAACTCATATGACATAATAAAGATAGAGCTACAACCCTTTCGCATGAAGCAGTCGAAGTACAAGTTTTTGTATTTGCTTCATCCAAACAGTTATTTAAGAGGGGAAAAACAATTTCATTGTATCTAAAGCTTAACATTATTTAGCCTCAGTGTTAATTCAGTTCTGTCAAGGATTTGCTTGTTGTATTTTCTTTAAAAATGGTTATCCCTCTGTCTTTTTGCATCAGTAAAAATTTGCTATGAAAATCTGTAACGATATATATTTACCTCTGTCAAATGATTGTAACATTTCATTGCAAATTAATAGCACATGCTTTGTATGTTTTTACTTGTCTATAAAATGCCCTAATCTTGCCTGTAAAAAGTCTTCTTGTTTGAATGCAGTTATTATATTATTTGTGTTATTTTCGACCAAGTCAAGTCTGGTTTCTTTCTTAAAAATTGCTTTGTGAAAGACATTGTTATTGAATGGCAAGTTAGAATTTTAAGATGTAGACTTTTTGTTCAGAAAGTTTGATATGATACTAAAGTTGACTAGCAACTTCTTGTACAATAAATTGAAATTTAGATGAGAATGAATAATTATATATTTACTCTTACAGAAGAAAAGAAATACATGTATTTTAATTCATTCGACAATGATGTCTTTCTAAATTTAAATTTGAGATGCAAAAGGTCAAATCTATGAAAAATTTATATTATATCAAGTTTACAAGATTAGATTTCATTCTCTGAAATTTCCATAGAAAAAAATCTTTGTATATAACAGCAACATTGGTATTTCTAGTCATTAATACTGGCTAATTGTAATGATGAATACAAGAGCTCATTTATTTTTGAAGGCATTCTTACATTATAAAAGTGAACATGTGTGAACATACTGGTTTATATATCAAAGGTAAATAATTGTATAACATTAAACTATTTACAGTATAAAACAGAGAGGGACGGAGTTGTAGAAACACGTGTTGAGAGAAAGATTACAGTCACCAGTGATGGGGATGATGATTTGGACCATGATGCTGTAAGTTATTTACCCGAATCATTTTGTTATAAATTTAAATAACTATGCTAGCACTGTGAATGAAATGCCATAAGCCAAAATATAGTTTAACTTAAACATTTAAGCTCAAGGGGCTTTCGTGGCCGATTCGTTTATAAAGGCCTTTTATTTTAAACCACTTACTCCTCACTGCACTGGGTTCAAGTCCTGACAGGGTCTTTGGATTATTTCATATGAGGAAGCTATCCAGCTAGCTTAAGGAATGTCAGTGGTTCTACTCAGGTGCCCATTTGTAACTGAAATAATGCACGGAAGGGCACCTTAGGCTTTCCTCCAGCAATAAAGCTGGAAAAACGCCATATGTGTTGATGCTATGTTAAAAACTGCCTATATGAAAACATGTTCTTGAGGACTTAAGCTCTTTTATCGTTTTTTTTTGAATTCGGTTTTTCTCTTATTTTAAACAAATCAGAAGTTAGTCTGCTTCATGTGATTAATAAGCAGCACTTGTGTCATATCAGAAATCATAATTATTGTTCTGGATTTAACATGGCAATATGGTCTTAATGAAATCCCTGATTATATTAATTTTTTTGGTATGTTTCTTAAAATATAAAATGTAATCATGTATATTTTGACAGTTGTTGCGGGCAGCCATCGAGCAAGTGACAAACATGAATCCAGATTTGTCAGTAGAGAAGATAGAATGTATGAGACAAATAGAAGAAGTAAATGGCATATGAAAGGTTTAAATATGTAAGTATTGTGTTCAATGTGTGGGAATATTATGTCTCATTTTACATTTTAAGTGTTTAATGGCGACGTCAGTGGCCGAGTGGTAAAGGTCATTGACTGCCAACCACTTGCCCCTCACCACTGTAGGTTTGAATCCAGACAGGAACTTTGGATTCTTTCATGTGAGGTAACAATCAGGCTAGCTTACGGAATTTCAGTGGTTCTACTCGGGTGCCTGTTCATGCCTGATATACTGCATAAGGGCACCTGAGGTCTTCCTTCATCAGTAAAGCTAGAAAGCTGCCAAAGTTGACCTATACTGTGTTGTTGTGACATAAAACCCGAACAAAAAAAACTGTTAAAAATTGGACACTGCTTAAGCTGCTAAGACTGGTATTTAAGTGATATTGCATATTCTATTATCTTGTGAACAGACTCAAACTATAGATTGATTAAGATATTTGCTACGTAATCTGTCAGTCACTTTTACTCAGCAATACTTCTGTCACCTATGAGATGCCAAGGTCATGTTCTCTTAGCTTAAAAGTAGATTATCTTCACTTTTTCTCATGGTCTCCATTGAAATGTAACTTTAAGTTATTCTGTTACTTCTTAAATTAGTCCGTAGCACAATTGTATTGAAATTTACCATTTGTAGTGGATGGAATTAAATTCAGTGTATTTGAGGCGATAAATTATTTTTTTCTCCTGTTCTCATATTTTCAAAATATTTTTACTGAGATAATCCATTGTTGTTGTCATTACTCTTGTATTAATATTGTAAATATTTCTGGACATTATCATTGTTTAATATTTCTCTCTTTTTCAGACTGCAGCAAACCTTTGGTGATTCAGATGCAATAATTCAAGCTTTCATGTGCTTTCGAACAGTGACTAAAATAGCCACCAATGAGTGCCTATACATTTTTTCATATAAATATAGACAGCCAATCATAGTAATGCTTCACAATATTGTCATAAGTGATGTCAGAGGTGACATCAGTTGTGATGTCATGATATCATCCAATGATGTCATGTGTGATGTCATCCAATCGGTACATGATGTCATCCACACCATAGACAACTTGTAAATAGTGAAAAGGCAGTGTAGTGTTTGTGCATAATGAAATAAAATAAAAATCAAGGGTGTTACAGACAACAGAACTTTGAAATGTATATTGAGAGTAATGTTTGAAATGAAAATAACTGTGTAGATTTATTATATGTCTAATGTTCATGAAATGGATGGAATTGTATTTATATAGTGAATTTTGAAAAGGGTTATCATTATACCATGAAATTGAAAAGATTACTGTTAAATTAATGCCATTGTACAGGTTTTAAAAATAGGGAAAATACGATGGATAAATCAAACTGGTGTTGTTGTTTGTCATTTTGTTTTATTTTAAGATCAGATGTTGCTTCAGTCATTTGTTAATTTGTTTCGAGTTTTGATGTCAACTGGATTTCATTAGTCAGCTTTATGAAATGACTGTAATTGGGTTTGTGTGTATTTATCTACATTGCATGATTATTATCAAGATGTGCTGTTTTAATTGAGACAATGCAGAGAGGTCTCAGAAATTCTTCTTTTTGTAAAGATGTCTGAAAACTTTCGTTGAAGCAACATTTAATTATTTTTTTGGCACTACATCAAGTAAATTGTTGATTTTGAAGTTGTTACATTAGTTTGAATTTAACCATTTTATTTGTGTTGGAAAAACAAGGGTTTTTTTCAGGAAAGAAGTGTTTCACAGACTGTCTCAGTCCATTTGAATATAATTTTTACATCAACATATATTTATGTAGAAACATTCACATATGTGTGGTTTTCTAATATCTTATTCACAGTGATAGGTAATAATAAGTAAATGACTGTGAAAATGTAATGATTATTAAAAGGGCCCTTTAGTTTCAATGCTTTGATGTTCAATTCACAGACTAGTTTTTATGTTGATTATTTGTAAAAGAATGCAGGAAAATCACACAGATTATTCTTCAAATTTCCATTCATTGCCATTTTACATAACTATATTAAATTATGTTTTATTTTATACTATATTCCTAGGTTGTGAGAGATTTTCCTTCTATATTTGTTAACAGAAAATGCTTAAATTGCTATTTTATTCCATAGATAAGTTTACATAAGGCTTGATTTGGCATAGTATTGTATGTTTTAGACCTTCTTTCCCTGTTTTAGAAAATGGAATATCCCAGTTCCTTTGTTGGAAGAATCCATACAGTGTGGATTATTCCATTTCCTGTGTAAGAATAATCCATAAACAATAGAATATTCCATTTTTGGTGTGGAGGAATCCATGGAATCTGGAATATTTCATTTATTAGTGTTGGAAGAATCCATAAGTAAGAAGATTGTGGGGGTGTAACATTAGTAAAATGCAGAAAAAAGTGTGACTGAAAATCATATGGTGACCTTGAATGTGACCTTTTGTATGTTTTACTATGTTTATTTTTAGAATTTTAATTTTGTTATATTATTATTTACTTTTTATGCTGCTTTTATTTTTAATCATAAATATTATGTCCATTTTCCTGTTTTTTGCTTTTAACACCGTGTAAAACGAGTTGTATTTTTACAGACTAACTCCTTGAAGCACTAATATTGCGTAGCTAGAATGGACAGACAAATGCTGACTATTATTTCAAAGTTTTGACTCAGTAACTGGTCAAAAGACAATATTATACATTCATATAATGATTATTAAAATGGTTATTATAATTAATTATACAAGACTTTAAAATTGTAACAAGCAAAGTTTATTCAATTGTAAACAATACCTATAAGAACCTGTATGCCTTTTTATCTTACTGGATGTAGTATATTGAAATAAATTAATTAAAATTTTATGAAGAAATAGATTTGTACTTGTTTAAACTATCTTGTTCTGTTGTCAGTTTATGCATCCGTATTGTTTTTTCTCTCACAGTATAACTGTATCACTGTATAAAAAAACTATTATTTAAGAAAACAAATCAATTGTGTATTTTATATCATTTTTTAATTTTAAAAGTTACTTATACTTATTATATAGGTGATTTAGTTTATTTTCAACTGTATTATACAATATCGGGCTGAATAAAACATTTGAAAATGTACAAGGTATTGGTTAAGACTTGACATTTGTAATAAAAAAAAAATATTATACATCATGTGATTTAAAATTGACCAGTAACATTACACTTGTTATTGGTTAATTCAACTTGCTTCCAAAATTTTACACAATATTCAGACATAATTTAATTTAACCAGTAAAAATCGTACGCTGGTTATTGGTAAACGTTGCTAAAAGTATCAATAAGATCTTAGATCAAGAGTGGAAATCGACCATGAAAAATACATTTTTGTCATTGGTATCGACATAGCTTGCTAAAAATAACTTTATATAAATGTTGAACTTATTTGAAAAATGAGACTGTGTTGGCTAGTGCTTAGAAATGAATATTATCTGTATTTGCTTTCAATAAAGATGACACAAATTGTTATCTTTCATTGTACAAACAATCCTTCAAATAGGTTTCAAGTTGGCTGTACAGTGAAGTACTTAATAAAATCTCCTGTAAGATTCTTACTTTTGTTGATGCATTGAATACACTTCATTTCAACAGATTATTTAACCAATTTCCCCTGTTTTGTCATTTCTTCATATTCACATCTATTACGACTTTGGCCAGATTATATAATCTATATCAGCACAATATCTATTGTGACTATAATTTATATCTATACAACATAAGTGCGTTCCATTTGGGTAAATATTGTCTAAACTGACACGTGAGACAATGAAAACACATTAAAAACAAAATCTGACATTACGATTTGCCAGTGAGAATATTTTTCAAAGGTTGTCAACGTAAGCTGTTGACAGTTGTTCATACAGTTAATTAAAAGATGATTTATTTCCAATGCTTAGATATCACATAGCTATAAATTTAAATAAAACACTGAAAGAATGAATGATACTGTTCTCTTTATTAACAATATGCTAGTTTACAGAACGTGGCTGGTTTTATTCAGGTTCCAGTTCGTGCCTGAAATAAAAGTCACCTTTCTCTGTTGGTGCGACAGAAAATCCAACAAAAATCGATATGTATCAAGACTGCTTATTTTGTATATATGTAAGTAATAGCGTTCAACAATCTGAAAATCAACTTGATTATATTTAGGTTATACGAATTTATTTTTTTAGTTCTATTGTGTGTTGGAAGCTCTATGCGTATTGAAAAATTGAACTGGAACCAGCCAATACTAAGCATTGAGTGTTAAGTTTTTTGCTAACGGTAAAAACGTCTTGCTACTACCCAGGCGACCAGCAATATTTAGATTACATGTCTGGCGCGTTAATTACACAGCCATATCGCCTCTAACTTGATTTTTATTGACAGAGGAAACAAAGTGATCCCTCGGAAACATTAACAACAAAATTACATGAAAATTGCAGACTCGGTTTGATTGAGTCTGTAGCAACATCCCTCACGCACCTAGCACCGGCTTGAGCGGTACTCAACCATCAACATTTATTAGTGCTGGCATCAATGACCCCGAAGGACCAGAAAAATATAATAACACTGAAGTGAAGGACGGGGCGATGTCTCATTAATAATCTTATTACGCACATTCAATATGTTCGATGAGTTCAAGACCCAATAAAACAATAATTATAATTCGGGCATCTACGGTACACGTACGCTTGTGTGTGCGTGAGTGTGCGTTTGTGTATAATTGTGTTTGGTTTAGTTGCCTTTGTCACCAGCAAAAAGCATGAAATCACTTCCATTTTAATTTTGCAGACCTTATTTAGGATTTCATACTGAATAACGCAATAGAATATAACCTAAAACTCCGTGACCGTCTACATTTTTGCCCATGCTTGAACTCCAGCTATATACCTTTTAACCGAATGGCTTAAAATGATATTAATGTCAATCATTACAGATATTTGTGATTTATGGACTTTCTTTAATATGAAATATTTGATGAAGATTTGCTACATAACATACACTAGTTTATCTACGCCTGGCATAGATAAGTGACCTATCATTTTACCTACCACGCGACAAATTCAGGCCATACCAAAGTCTAGATATACCTTACTTAAATTCAGGCGATGCCTTGAGCTTTTTTGTCTAAAACACATTCAATCTTTAAGACTACTTATCGGCAAAGTCTTGCATTTATTTCAACGGCATCAAACTATCATAAATGGGATACATGATATAACTAGATGAGATTTTCTATCTACTTTAGAACCTTTTAGAACAAGTTTTTTGCATTGAATTGCTACTGGTATCCGTGCTAAAACCACCGAAAATGCGATGGAATTTGGTTGTGTTGACTGGTGAACGCGCAACAATTTCCAATTACATCGTTTGTTGCCATTTAAAACAAAGTAAGTAAAATCAAATAATATTATTTTTAACATGTAAGTGTCATCTTGTATTATCATCAGCCCGTCATGTTAGACTTCTGCCGTCCTCCTTCGCTTTTTTAGATGATTTTCAGATTTTGATGGAGACGTTCAAAAGCATTAAGTGGTCATGAGTATACTTTTTTACTGGCAATGAAAAAAGAAAGAAAGAAGAAATAAGCGAAAAAGTAATCAGGTTTGTTTGCATCAATGAAATTTATAAAACTAATTCAGTTGTGACATTATGATAATACCTAGATAGAATTATACCTATCAATCCTTTAAAACATGCTTGTTGATGAAAGGCCGACACGCAGTATAAAAATACTGATCTAAAATTAGATTTTAATTGAATATGTCTGGGACAATCCTCTAGCTTGAACCTGCAACATCTTGGCTGCTAAATGAAAAAAAATATAAATGCGTTTCATCACCTTTGGCATAAATAATGGTCGTCAATCGTTATTTATAATACCGACAAATATTACTTTATTTTCAACCCAGTATTTTAGACGTCGCAGTAAATCCTTTTCTATCTGAGACACAGCTGGTTCCAAGTTCATCTACATAATTAACTTAAATATTGACATAATACTAGTTTTTGTACTTGAATTTAGATATTGCGACATTTAACAGCGGTGTTGCAACACTTAACTGTAAGGAAAATCGTGCGACATTAAGCGTTACAACTGCGATATTTAACGGTAGAAGATTTTGCGACATTTAGCGGTGGTTGCGACATTTAGCGGCGTTGCGACATATAACGGCGCCACAACCTTAATTATCTACGTTATTATGTACCAGCTGTGGATTCGAGTCTCCCCCATGCATGGGACTTAGATTCTTTCTAATGAGGAAGCTGGCTTGCGGATGGTAAGTGGTTCTACTCAGGTGCCAAGTTGTGCCCGTTATATGCCATAAACAACAATGTCGATGTTACTTAACTCCGATCCCCCACCCCAAAAAATAAATAAATAAAAAACCAACAAAAAGTACATAATATCGTTGTATTGCTAAAAATTATCAGTTTCAATAAAAATAATCAGAAAGTTAAAAAATAACTTTATGCGACATAATCTTTACAAAAATGTAAAATTCAATACGTAGCACAACATAATGTAAACAAATGACAAAATATAACCTCCGACATAAAAATAGAATCAGTCGCACAAACTTAGGATAAGCATGAAAACAGAACGAATTCTAACCAAAAAATCTAAATATGTCAACATATTGTCAACCATGTAAATAACGGGACTTGTTGCGTTAGTTCATTATATCGTGTACAAGTCTACTTAAAATATATACATGTAAGAAAGTAAATTATTTACATACTAACTTTTAAGTTTTAAGAAACCGGAATACAAACTGTAACCCTTTTGGTGATTTATCGGATTTGATTATAATCGGTTGACAATGGTCATTCTTTAATTGATACTGATTGTCAAAAATATTTTTCAATCCAAATTTTACTGAAATTGTCTTTATTTTCCATCCGATGTGAAATAAATACATCTGTTAATCATTATATAAAGATAACATCTTCTGTTGTTGTTTACATCTGAAGTCACGCGGTAGAACTACTTCCAATACGTAATTAACTCCAAAATTATTATATGCATAATGATCGACGTGTTCCGATATCAGTTTAATATGAAATAATAAAGCCAACGTTTTTTTGTAAATGACAACAATAATCTGGTACGGAAATCGAAAAGTAAGCACGCAAAAAATAACAATAATAATAAAAATTAAACCATAACAAAAACCATATCCGTAGACCTTGCAAAGTAAAACTGTTTTTCAGAAATATAACACGTGACTGCATCGTTAATTACAGAATTTAGAATAATGTTTTCAGTTAAATTTCATTTGTATATATGACCTACACGATTGATATATTATAGGGTATGCAGTTTGTACTTCCGAAATCTAACAACAAAACAGTTACATTATACGGGACTTTTATGTTTTAATCAATACAAAATATGTCGTACATTAATATTGTGAATATGATATACAAAACAACTATACACAAAGAATATTTTAGAAACACATTGTGCCTAAAAGGTATAATTTGCAAAAAGAATAAAACAACATAAAACCCTAACAAACAAATAATTTAAACAAGTTCAACGTTGATGAAATGTTATGTATTCAAGCATTCCTTGAGTCCAATTTAAACACATACCGAACTTTATGATTTAAATATGCTGCGAATATATAGATGTTGAGGTTATTTTCTTTAAGTCTTATATTATGCATTCGTAAATAAATATCATCTGATAAATTTTGTGACCCTGAGTAAGAGTTGAGCTTTTTTGCTTGAACAAATATACATTATATAACGCTTTTGATAATTACTGAAGAAAAAAAACACCAAAAACAAAGAACAAAACATTTACACTAAAAACACAAACTCTCAACATTTAAATGATTAAATACAGTGTTTAAAGCGTTTAATATAAACACGTTATTGACGTTATTTACATCATAATAGATAATTATCTTAAGATTTTGTATCAAGATAAATCGTTTGAGAGATGATTACTTACAGTCCAGTAAACATAAAGAAATCTTACGTGAATCAGCAGTTTAACTCATTTTAAAGCCCTTAATGACGAAATATGTGAAATTCTAATCGAAAGAGATATCTGAAGAGTAAAAACAGAAACGACATAAAGAAAAATAATAAACAAGGAAAGAACAACAACAAAATAACAACAAACACAAAAATAAATCCAATTCTAAAAAGTGAACACAATTGAATAAATTGCATTTAGGCTTTGTTCGTTGATGCCATTTAAAACACCAAAAATGAAATGCAAAAGTAGTACGTTTACTTAGTAAAAGCAATGTAAAGCATTTAATGTATTCTGATATATATAATAATGACCAAAATAAACATCAAATGGGATTTATCGCAGGTCTTGAGAGAAGCAATGTATTCTTCAAAGATATGTCAAGCCAATATATGTGACAGATATTTGCAACAAAAGGCACATATGTGACGAACAGACAACGCAATGATTGGTTCATTCAATAGATCGTTTTCGTTTATTCCTCCAGAACTATATTCAAATAATGTGGACATAAGCCACAAAAACAAAGTCTTTGTCTAATGTCTTTGACCTTTACTGATCAGTATAAGTAAATTAAGGGTTTTATTTTTCAAACAAAAGGTCAAAAAACCAGTTTAATCTTTAAAAAAAATGGAGCTGCCGTCATTTTGAACGTGACACATAGTTCTCATGTGTGTAGGGTTAAATACAATACACTGATGTCTAGAACATTTCAACCAATAAAGAGCGTTTTTATCTTAGCTCCGTATATGCAACTCGTTTGACAATGTGTTCACTCCGGATACTTTTTTATGAAGTACTTGTTTGATTTTATTTAAGACACACGTGTCTTCATACTCGTCTTGGCATTGACATTTCACATCTTTCATGTGTACCTCTGTAAACTTTACAGCGCGTGTCAAAATTGAAAGTATCATCTCCATATGGATATGCGTCAGTTTGACGTCAATTAACTCAAATACCTTTACCTCGGGCAGTGGAGATACTGGCATTACGAGTTCAAAATCCAGTACGTCATCGTCTTTTAAGTCGGACAACAGACCGTCTACTTTACAAATGGACAACTTTTTCAGACTTGACGAGACTGCAATGTGTGACAATATCTCTTCCATTTGGGATGTAGACATTGCCAATGAATGAAGCTCCACTACCTCTGAAAATGAAAGGATTGAACACATGTCCCTGAGAGGCCCTCTGCCAATTTCCAAATTTCTGAAACATATTTGTTTTGATGCTGTACAAACTAAAGTTTCGAAATTTACCGCCTTGTACAAATGCAACGACATGCAGGAACAAACCAAATTACTTTTGATATTTTGTAATTGGATGTTTTTGAGTTGCTTTGAATACATCAATAGCACAGCAAAAAAATCAAGTATATCTCTCGGAAACTCATTGTCTTCTAGCTTTAACTGAGTTAACATCGGCATTTCCTGAACCGCTACACGATCTTTTGTCGTCTGCCATTGCCTTACACATGGCGATATACACCGTATACAGTGAAGGTCCAACATTCTAAGATCTGATGCTTTGAACACTACTGATAGGAGTTTAGTTAGCCAGACGCAACTCAGTTGAACGTTTGATATTACCAGTTCTCTGACTTTGGTATGTACTTTGTCAAACTGATAGTCTTCTAAGCTGTCATCATGACCTTTAACGTCATAAAAGTTGACATGATCGAGTTTCAAGGTCACAGTTTTCAGCATGACCTTTTCAAATTGACTTAATGTCAAAGAAATGTTCTTCAAAACAACGCAGCGTAGATTCGCGCATTGTTGCCGCAGAAACTTATTTAGAAAATTGTTTTCTATAGCTGATAGGTCATCATGAATACGAAGCGTGACTAAAGATGACATGTCCAGATCATCCAAGACAGTTCTAATCTTTGTATTAATGTTAATATCAAGATCGGACACGTGAAAGTTTAACTTGTTTTTACCACAAGCCTTTCCTTCTCTAATGCAATCATAAAGAACATCTTGATATTCAGTGACGGAAGGATCACATTGTGCAACGTAGTGCTCATTAAATTGAGGCTGGTCTTGCATGTGTTTGCGGTAGTAGCTAATATTCTGATCACCACCCATCGATTCTGCTATATACCTTGAAACCTTTACTGCTTTTTCAAGATTTATTCCACATAGAAACTTCAAAACAATGGCATTATGAATCAGCATGATTCTGGAACCAAAACCTTTCTTAATCTGTTCGTTTAGAGGATCAGTTTCTGATATGATATCAGATAGATGAACCGCTGACAGATATTCTTGTATACTTTTATGCGGAAAAGTAAAACACTGGAATCGATGTATGACCGAACGGCCAGGTACTTGTGACACCGAAAGTAACCCAATTTGCTTGCTAAACTCTATATCTTCATGTTGTAATCCTTCCTTGATTATTTCATCTTGTTTGAAAACAAGGGACGATGCACGATTTTCTGTAAAAAGTGCATTAAAAGCAAGTTTGCTTAACGAAGCAATAAGAGACGACATTTCAAGACAGGCTTCCTTGCCGTCAAAACATAGGGGCAAATGCTTTGCATGCGAAACTAAACTTGACTTGATTCTCTGAAACTTTTCATCGTGCATTGAACGTTCATTTGCATGCTTGATCATGACATTGATAACAGAGCTATAAATACCACAGTATGAATTACCTAATGACTGTTCATCAAACCAGATACAGACAAGAAGTTTTAAGAGAATTGGAGTTTTACACAACCCATTCAAATTCATTTTGTTAACCTCATCTTGAAATTTCCAAAAGAACATGCGTGACTGAAATTTTTTATTCAGTTCAGACACAGTAGACTTCGTTAATTGATCTACAGATTTTTTACCAATGCCTTCAAGGAGAATTCGCAAATCTGCTTGAGAATCTTGCTTGTATGGCCTACTGGTAGTAATTTTCACGTAATTGAACCTTGCCTTTGGAAAATCATTTCGTAGTGTAGGTCGAACACTACTTTTGCGCGGGTTCCATTCATCTAGGCCGTCAAGTATTACAATACATTTATTTGATTCGGTTACAAAGATTTCAGAGAGAAAATCTTTTTGATCAGTTTTAAGAAGCTGATTGTAAATCATATCCTCAATATATCGTTCGTCACATGTGTGCCTAAGAGAGACATAAAACAAAAACTCGAACCCCCTCATTGTTTCAGATTCATGAGACGCTTTTGACCCTTCACCCTTGATAATGGAAGGAAGAACTAAGCGTTGGTCATAATTGCCCTCAGAGTTTGCCTCACACCATTTACAAATCAAGGCCTTACAAAAAGTTGTCTTACCAGTACCTGCATCCCCTAAAACGAACACATTATGCATAAGCTTATCGTCTTTATAGATAACACTGTCAAATGAATCAATAGCTGTATATGTTGTCTTTCCATGGAATTTTGCATCATTTGCTCGCTTCATTTTAACAGGAACGAACACTTTACTCAGATGAACATCTTCTTCGGGTATAAACGGAGAAATGTCCGATGTCAAATAATCTTCATACTGTTCAATAAGATACCTTTTCAAATCTATAATTCAAAGATAAGATGACATTAATTTTTGGTTTCAATGTTTGTATAAATTTGTCGACAAAAACTTTAGATATCAGCTCTCAATATCGATATAGTTGAGGTGATAGTAATGCGCATTGATTTGATAATGAACTATTACGAAGACAATTTGTTTCTAAACACAATATACTGTATCAGATTATGCAGACATATATTAGGTACATATTTTTTTAGATGTATCATTGTTAAGTCAAGTTCAATAGCTATGACTTCAAACCAAACTTCAAAAGATTCAGATAAAAACAGGTGCATATTAAACTTTTAAGCATATAAATGACAGCACAATAACATTTGCCCATATAACAATTGCACTTCACTTGTTTAACATGTAGGATATCATTTTGGACACTTTGTTTTAAAAATAATTGGACCAAACACATTAATGAAAATCCTGTATATAACTTTGTCCCAAGATTGTTATAATTATTAATTTTTACATTATCAAAGTAAAATTAAATTAATAAGATTAATTGACTCAGTCTAGTACCTTGTTTTTTCTGAAGATATGCAAGTCGTTTTTCTTGTTTTGTTTTTCTGTTGTCTAGCTCAGTAACACATGTTCTTAGCTTTGTTATGTCTAATTTCAAATCAGCAGCATAGTTTCTTAATGTGTCAATGGCGTTTTCTGTCTTAGTCACCCGCTATATCGTATTTAAATATTAAATATGTCAATTTAGTTATACATTTTACACATGCTCCATAACATAACTTTTAACAATTTTTTGTATTCGTTCAAATCTTTAACTCGTACTCCTGCTGAGTTTCTCTAAAGACTTTAAAAGTTTATCTATTTAGTGGATATAGTGAACAAAAATTAAAGTAAGTCAACCAACTGTATAGCGCCTGGTGAGACTTTATGGCTTTTTGTCACAACAGGGTAAAGATAAGAATTCCTTTTATTAGATTTTCTTTAATATGAACACATGTAACGACCCAGCAAGCTCAGCATGTTATACACATGTCGTCCATAAGTATCACTTTTAGATATGTTATAGGGAAAGTAAATTATTAAATGTCGTAATTCATATTACTTTTGTTATAAAACAATTAAAAAGTCATTGTCATATACCTTAATATAAAGACATTTTCTTTAAAACATGTACTGCTGAATAAAATCGATCAATTCATTTTAACGTAAACGGGCAAAATACAAAGTATCTTGTTTTAATTTCAATGTCTGTTCCACTGAATATTAACTGTTTATATATCAACTTAATCCTACAGTTAAAAAACCAACAACAAGCAAACAAATATTTATTCGATACATAAATGATGAACGATAAATGATTTGAAGTAAAGATAATTAATACAAACTTACATCTTTAATGTTATGAATGCCGGTATTCAACTTTGCCATGTCTTGATGGATTTGGTCAATTTCTGGTTGCAATGTGTTATTTATATCGGCAACCGCAATATCTTTTTCGGACTGAATGGCTACCAGTGATTCTTCTTCTTTTTGTTTAAGCTCTTGCATGCATTCTGTTTTCTTTAATTCTATCGCTGACAATGCCACTTCTATAGCTTTAGTTTCACTCTCAGTGGTAATAATCAGCTTGTCGTTCTGGATCTTTGAAAAAACATATTGCATTTACTCATACAGACGTTCCATTTTAAGTTCTGCGCAAAATAATATGCGAATCATGGAGAGTTGTTTATTATATAGCATTCGTTCTGTGTGTTTTAATACCGCTTAAATATAAAAGTAATGTCTAATTATATACACAATATAATTTGTTTAGGAAGTTGGTGTCAGGAGAAATGTCTGCCTTGTTGTTATTTAATCTACGGAAAGATTTAGTTATAAATACTAGAACCAATTTCCAAGATATGGGGGCTGGGCAGCCTGACATAAAATTGAAATATTCTCAGTTGGTAATTGTTTAGTTAACACTATTTGTTTCAGGTTTTTAGGTATTTTATCTTTTTTCTATCTCAAATCCATATATATATTTAAACAACAAACTCTGATCATTATTTACACCCAAAACAAGTACACGTCATTTATCAACCACTTATATTTTATACGAAATATCTTTTCACGTATACGTCTGTTAAACGAAACAAAACAAGACACCTGGCGAGCCAAATCTCTAAACAACTTTTGACCAAACAACACAATAAAACACAATCTAATCAGCATCAGAAAACAATTTAAACTAAAGCACCCAATATTTACATATATCCTCAAAACAAAACATCAACTAATAAAATCTTGACCAGACCAACATTCAACCAATATCAACCAATTATATCTTCACAAACAGATAGAACTCAACAACCAAAACAACTAATTACAACCATTTAACCCTGATCAATTAAGATCACCACAATAACATTCAACCAACTTCAACAAATCAACAAAACTCCCTTCAAAACATCTCAGCAAAAAAAATAAACGCTACACACTATCAGCGTGTCTAAATCTCTCAAAACCTCACATATTCACATATTTGCTAGCTTAAACGATTTGACCTTTACATGTAGATATATTTTATACTCTATAAATGAAACTGTACATTGAAATCTGATACACTTCAGTGTATCGCTGACTCGTTGTAAAAAATAAACTATCTACAGTGAAACTGTATGATTATTCTTACAGTTGGTTTAGATTAAAGTTTGAAGAATCTTTTTGTACATAAATATTTAGTGAGAGATTTATGTAAATATCGACTTTTTTCGGAGTAACCACTAACTTCTACAACAATGGAAGATACTAAACCAGTTGTCCTATATATTCTATTTTGGTGTGTTATTATTTTTAAATCACCACACATCCAGTTCATCTAAAAACAGGAATCGTAAATTACAATTGATATTTGCCCAAAATGCTAGAACACTTTCGACTACTATTTGAAGAAGTTTCACATTTAAGAAATGATACATTTATAAAAATGATAAATTTTGTGGTGTTTCATTTAAGTTTATATAAATTTGAATATTTAACATATTAAAAAGGCAAAATGTCGTAAATAACAGTTACTGTCATTACCTTAAAGTATCTATTTCATTAACCCGATTCATTTTATGAATCACGATTCATGTAATGAATATTGTAAATACTTTTTTATTTTCATAAAAGATCACCATACAGAAAGGTAATTTGCTCACGTTCTTTATTTTCTCGACTGCAGCTTTCGCAGCGGGATCATGCGCCAATGTTTTTGCATCTTCAAGAACTGTGATCATTTTTTGCAGGTGATTTGCCACCTCTATATCAGTCAGTCGTAGATTTGAGCTGTGAAGAATCTCATTTCTTGAAAGACGTGCCTGTGACCATTAAAACATCTATTGATAATATGTGGACCATGGGTATTTCATGACACATAACTAAAGAATCTACTGATAATACATGTATATGCTTTATGGGAATTTCATGAAATATATATTTGTTTTAGAAAGTAATGCGTGTATATATTATATGAGCAAAATGCATAGCACGCAATTCACCTTTAGCATGTCAATATATAATTGCGACATTTAATGACTGATTCTTAAACAGATTTTAAAATCATATTAAGAAGCGTAAAACAGCCTACCTCACAAAAGTCGTCATAAGGTGCATTAATAACGCAGGCTATTTCATTTTGAACAAATTTAGTGTTGATGATGATACTAAGTAGCCCTGCGGCATCGGTCAGAAGTGCAGAATTTTCTCCATTTTTGCTTGTTGTGTTAAGGAAACATTTTGCAAATTGCCAATGATCTGTGGACCACAAGCTTGCCTCTGTTTCCCAATTAGGAGAGGCAAAACGATGTTGCTGAATTATTTCATCATACATGTAACTACAAAATGAGCAGTGTCTGTTAGCTCTACGCCTACAGTTGCAATGTCTGCCATTTTTCTGTATACACGTTCCGCTTGTTGCATGTGCAGGTAAAATATTGCTTACACAACACCCTGAACATTGAGCGGCTGGGTTATCAACTAGTTGGCGAACACTTTGCAACGCATTTGAATGATGCTTTTTAACAATTCTGTCAACAAAGTCTCGCAATCCTTCTTGAAGAAAGAATAATCCCAAGACGCCCCTTACCCAATTTCGATAATAACCGTCTTGTATCTTTTCGGCAGTCGGCATTTTGTCTCTGATGGGTTTCCATTAATCAATTAACGTTCTTACACGATGTAATTTCATATCTGTAGGAATACATTTTAGTTCAATTGCAAATAATACAATTTCCTTCTTTTGTTTAGTGAAAAAGAACAGCTTTCGTTTTTCTTTCACGTTTAATGAAAAAGAACAACTTTCGTTTTTCACTATCAGTTATGTAGATTGACTGGGCAATGTCAATTATTCCGATTATATACGTGTGTTTAATTGATACACTATATACATGTATAAACAACTCATAAGCCTATATGTTTTCAAATGCCATACCCTACAGCGTTTAATAGATCACATTATCTCCACAAATGTTCTTTAAAACAGAAAGATGTTTTCCTCCAAAAGAAAGCAAATTTAGCTGGTTTTTCCGATACTAAATAAAGTATCATTTTTAGTATTTTCCATTTCTATTTTTATACCTGTTTATCAAGTTATCGTACCGACAAGTTCATATGTTTGTAATCTGTAATCCAGATTCACGTGTGGTTGATATGCTGTCTATATACAAATGGACTTTAATAATTCCTTTTAAATTAAAGCTAGCAATAATGCGGGACATTAAGCATGCTATACATGCTATATACTGGTTTATATAAAAGTTTGTATGCTTTATTGTGTCAATATATATATTACCCTCGCTTATCAACTCGGGTTTATTAAGGTTACAATTTTGTGCCTAGTGATATGCTATGTGCATATTTTGTAGCGCTTACGAAGTTATCATGACTGCAAACTTTACTCATATTTCCTAGCTATATTATATTTAATGAATATTTGTTTAATTTCACGCGAGGCGAGGAACAAAGATGAATTAAAGGAACAGTGGCTGTTATTAAAAGTGGTCTTACAACGGCCACCCGGTCAATGGTATTACTAATGAAATTCAAGGACAAGAAGCGCCGTTACTAAATAAGTTCATATTTCTTGTTGTCGCGGAGAAAACTAGATGTTATGTATCACATTTTCCCATATACTGTACATTAATAAACATTGAAAAAAGGGTCAAAACCAAAAATGAATAACTAGAAGAGTACACCACGAGTTACAGTTCTTTCTCAACCGAAATCTTCAGAAATTTCGTCGCGCATTTTTATATACGTATCTTTATTTGAAATAATTCTTATGGCTCCTAAAATAATAACTACAATATATCAATTTAACTCGTTATAGAAATGACATTTTAATTTCTATTTGTGCTTTATAATTAAGCTGTTGTTTATTGTACAGATACTTTTTCTCGTTTTTTATTATAATAAACGTCATTGTAATCGTCGGCATTGTCGTTGATATCATCATCATGTCATCATCATCACCACCACCATCATCATTATCATAACCATCAACTTTATCATCATCATCATCATCATCATCATTTTAATCATCATCAACTTTATCATAATCATCATCATGATTTTCGATATCATGTCTTTGATATCATACATTTGTTCATGTATTTTTCAATGCTTTAAACATGTTAAAACTAACTTCACTTCTTGTGTTACTGAACGTAGTTAAGTGCAAAAACCTGTATATCTATTTCCTGAAGTTTTTTAACTGATATAAAAGTTCCAAAAATACACATATGAAATAAATATGTTTGTATATTTCTTAAGGGGAGAATGCCGCATCATTTCTAAACGGTCTAAACACAACGGTGAGGACAGCAGCAAAATATTTTGGTCCGTCATATTTAATTTTTCATATTGTGTAAATTAGTTTATAATATAAACATCGTGAAAACAATAGCATAAGGAATAATTGAAAACCACAAACACTTAGTTAAATACTTTATTTACAAAAATAACAAAATAAGTGTTATTAGCATTGCAAGTTTTCTATACTCTACCTCGAATCCATTACAGCTACCGGCTTTTAAATATGGTACTGAACTTTTAACTTGTTACAAAAGAAATGATCCTGTTATAAAATGTGATGTTTGCATCAATTGTCCTGACTTTAATGTGTCTATTTCACAATGTATTTGCGTAGATTTTCCTGTGATATATCTTGTACAACGTACGTATCATAAACATCTTGCAACATGAATAACAGTTACGGCATTGTTGTTTGAAAAAAAAATCAGGCGATTACATGATTTATGTACAATGGTTTTTATAAGCATCATCGATATTTAAAAGTAACAAAATGAGATTAATTGTATATTGTATCATAGTTTTAGGACATTTCTGTTGAAAATGTGTCGTATACATAAACATGCACAGTGCGTTAACTGGAGTGTAGGTATTAGTTACCCCATTGATTGGCTCATTTTTGCCGGGATTTACTAATTGTGACGGCAGAGAAAGGGAAAGCGATACAAATATCATATTTAGATGCTCGTTCATTGGTTACTTTTTTCTGGGGTTTCATATTGTGACAACAGGGAACGTGCTTTTATGTTTGACTATAATACTAAAGAGAAAGAACATCAAAACACTTGGCAACCTGATTTACCATTCGGGGGCTATGCCCCCTCGCACAAATCATATGTGCCTCATGTTTCGATGCTATTACTATTTACATAGTAGGAGTCAATCTACAAGGACTCAAATGATTTGCATATACGTATTCTCGAAGAGTTACTCGCAGAAATTCAACTCATTTTCAATAAAAAAAGACTACGCTTGCTTGAAGAATAGATTTTCTGTCACGAGACCATTGAAATATGTTCATAGTTCGGATCTTCATCATTTAAGGCAACCAAAAACATCTAACAACTGCGTCCAGGGAATGGGGGCAACTATTGCCACCAATAGGAAATTCTCTGTCACAAACAAATAAGTCTGATTCGGTTCCTTTGCAATATAGATTTGACAACCAGATTTGACCAGATCCTGGAAGTTGTTCGTCTGCATATACACCACTTGCAAATCCTGCCGCTTTACATGCTACGTTCCCATCCTCATGACTGAACGAGTATCTGCATACTGTACCCCAGATATTGTTATACCTAACTTCAATGCGACCAACGACATCGATATCCGAAACTACCGCGTCCACAATACGGCTATTTTTATTGTCGCAATGGACACTTACCCTACTGTGTTTGATGGCACTGATATTGAAACATTTATTGTCATTATCATCATCTTCATCCGGTTTGTTTGTATTAACTAAGGTGAAACAGCCAGCTTTGACCTTCTTTTCAAAATCTGATTGAGGTAATGCTGACAGTCGTTCGGTTATATTGGATTGATGTTTTAGAACTTCCGTCAAATCTGATTCAACCTTCATTAAAGTATCCCTATACTCAGTTGATGATATTCCCGCCGTTGCACCGTTTTGGTCATTTTCTGCGCATGAAGATAGTTTTTCCATTTTAAGTTTCAAATCATCACTAAGCTCACATTTCACTTGAGACATATCTCCGCTGGTACCATGTTTAGGTTTTGTCGTAGAATCATTGGCATGCTTTACAGTCGATAACGTTTTGTGAATAAGGTCAGACATACTTTTGAACTGTTCTTTTATATTCTGGATGCCTCCGTTAACAGCTCTAATACCTTCGGCATTATCCCTTATGCCTTCTTTCATCATAAGCATATCCTGAAAAACATGAACACAAAATGCCTCTGTCCTGAATTTGCTATATATATTTTGACATTAGATAAATGATCCACCATACATCATTACACAACAAATTTATAAGCCTTAATTATTGGATTTTCAGAGAGGTAGAATTTCCTATGGGTTTCCTATGTCAAACAATGTCAAATCAATCACCCTGGGCGGGATCAATTTTGATTCAGGGGTTATAATTTGAACAAACTTTGTAAAGTAGCGAAAGGAGATAATACACACTAAATTCTAAAGTCTAAGGTCATGAGCTGTTGGAGACGATTTTAATAGATTGCAATTCTAAATTCATTGTTTTTCATTTGAACAAAGTTTGTGGATCTTCACGCAAGAAATATTTCTATCATGATTCATCAAGATTGAATTTTTTTGTTTCAATGGAAATGTCATTTGAGTGAACTGTGGACGGAGAGACAGAGATGACGAACAAACAAATAACATAAAAAGCTCACGTTACCACTCCGTGACAAGTGAGCTTAATGAGCAATAAACGCAACAGATACCCAGCTGCAAGTCTTGCACAAATTCTTTTGCACAATCAGAAAATGAGGTTTAACCAGCACATCACAATATACTTTTGATAATTAAGTTTGAGATAATTTCTGTTTAGATACAAGTATTTCTTCTTGCTTCTTCTGTAAAGCTTTGTATCCACAGTTTCGATATAATGCTCCTTTTATGATTAAAATATACGTGAATATTTAAAATAACTAAAAAAGACATTTAATATGCAATATGTTATTACACATTTAAACCGCATAGATTTAAAATAAACAATCAGCATTTCCTTGAATATTTATAATAGGGGTCTAAGACATAAGAGCTAAGCTAAAATGTTTTACCTGTACTGTCATTGCTTGTTGCTGCTGTTTAAGATCCCCAGGACTTATCTTGGAACATGAAACAAATACAAAGCACAGCTTCAAGATGAGAATGTTTGAAAATTCCATTGTTGAGAACTCCTGTTAATTCTTGTGTACTTCAACTGTAACATAACATGAAGATTTAAATACGTTTTAATACTCACATTGTCATTGATAAATGATATTCTCTCTGGCGGTGCAAAGGCTTACTCACATGTCAATATGTAATGACATAATTATTCAACTTATGTAAAAATGTAAGTCAACACAAACCTATATAACTACATGTATACTAATTTGTTCTCGACCATAATTAGTTAAGAAGATAGAAATGTCTACAGACTGGCGATGTCAAATAATGGACAACATACATGCCCTTCCGTGATGGTTAGACTGTCGACAGTGTTTATTCACATTTATCATTTGCCTGCCTTCGTTTAACTTGAATAATATTGGAAAATGTTATGTTAAGTTTTACTCATTGCATGCTGAGATTAATGCTGATATTAATCTACTAAAATGTTTAAAATTCCATGGAAATTGGATTAAATTTAAAATGCCTAGTAGCTGACATAACGTTAATTCTTTCGCCGTCTTGTGAAGTACCAAGCTATTTGGAACTACTCTCAGCAGACTAAAGGTTTTAAACGATTAATCATGTAATAATTAGTACATAAATCAGGATCACTGCTAAGTGGGATATGGGCATACTTCTGGGAAAACAACTGGTGTCTAACCGCAATCATAAAGCATTCAATTTTCAATCTGTGCTCTTACTAGATAGAATTCATGTTTTAAGGGCAATGGATTTGAATCAAATGCCTTATTCAGTCTGCGACACCATCTAGTCTTACAATATAAGGTTGAATTGTAATTAAAGAAAGCAAAAACTACTTTTAATACATTCCAAAAATACTGTTGATTTTGAGTGTTTTCGTCAAACAGATGTTGTAGTACATTATTTAGTGCATTACTGGACTTGTTTGGGGTCAGTACATAGCTTACCTGTGTATTGTACTCAACAATGTAAATTTACCTGATGATAATGGATAACGTACACAATTTAAATAACTTTTAACACATTTTAATGGGGACTTTTCTACCCCATATTTAGTTGTTTTCGTACGACGAAGTAATAATACTATGAAAATAAGTTTAAAATAAAAAGGTTTTTATGTAGTTCATTCTATCCATTCTATTCATTGGAATTATCGTTCAATAAAATTCTTTTTGTAAAATTATTTTCTTTCAAAAACGACCTTCAAATGTCTTTGGATTGTAGGTTGTTATGATCATATATAGTATCAAGTTATAATCTAAAACGACGGCGCAATATATTTTATTATGCTTACAAATTGTGTGCAGATCTGACAGATCATCCATTAAGATCCTAGTTATTTTGAATAGAGTCTGTATGGCGTAATCTAAAATGATTCAGCGGGTATCAATTTTGAATAAGTTGATCTCATTTCAGAATTTGTTTTGCAAACATGCATCAAATATTGGGTAACAATTTGTATGTGTTTATCGACCGACATATTGATTGAAATTATTCACAGAACGAGGTTAATATTCTGATTTAACGTAACACTAATAAATGCCAAGTTTATGTCGATCAAAACAATTAATTGAACCTCTTATGAACCTTTAATTAGAAACCGTTTATTTTGATTAAGTACAAACAACATTTGACCCCTCACCTCCACCACAAAACACCGAACGAATTTTTAAATACGGCAAAATAAGCATAAATTCAAATGACAATTTATAAAAATGATGATTATCATTGCAAATCGTTCCGAAAAAAATACATAATTACTTGATCAAAAATTACAAAAAGAATTTTTTTTCAAAACCGATCATCAACATTACATAGTCTATTGATTCAATGTGGCAAAACGTTTTCCACACCAATTACAACACTATAACCTTCCATTAGAAAAGAGAAAATAGTGTTCCCTGGAGAAAATCCGAAACGGAAACATTGAAAATGTTGCAGGATTAGTTTGATTAAGGCTGTTTATGGACGGTACTGTCAAGTGCAAATTGCCACGTCCCCTAGCACCGGCTTATAAGCAGAATTCAACATTGAAACATGAAAATGGTTAAATTTTGAATTTAGAAATCCGCAAAAATAATCATCTGGCGGTTATCATATATCACTTAACCGGTAACTATTCATTCTAGAACAAACAAAACAAGTTGTCCATGTCATTAAGTTGTTTACTGATATTTTTGTTTTCAAACCACAAATCGTATCAGATATTTTTTTATCCAAAAAAAATGTTTGAAAGCCTTCAGTGGACAGTAATTTCTTAGATTATTCGTGACAGAAGTTATACATAGGTGTGCCAATCTTATCTCGTTAACAATTTTGTCATTAATATTTGTATATATCAAAAAGAGTTTTATCTACTTTCCTTTTAATCTGATATTTTATTATTCTCTTTAATCTTTGGTATAAAAGATACACTTGTTGATACGTGAAATACATTGTCTTTTAACCGAAAAAATATTTCGTAATTACGAATTAATATTTCGTAAAAATGAATTAGTAATTCGTAATTACGAATTAATATTTTGTAATTACGAATTAAGTTCGAGAAAAAGTGTGGAAAATGTCACCTTAGGGGCTCCGTAGAAAAGAAATAATATTGCACTTTGTACAGCATATGGTTATTGAAATTAGAATGTAAACCTAACTGTTGCAGTACATGGTTTGAGCTGCTTTTGTCAAGTTTGGTGAGTTAATATTGTTTTGAACAACATGATATAGATGCACATTGATGAACAGTTGCAATACTCATGCATTCAATATTGAAGTAAACAAAGAGGGAAGTCTTTCTACCTGTCTATCTTAACTCTCATCTTAATATCTCTTTCAAAGCCTTGCAGACAGGACAGTAAAGACGTTACATTTATATTGTGTTGAAACTTGTTTATGTGTGCATTTTTCGTTGTTGAATTGTATTGCAGTGAACAATTGTTTGAATTATAGCACGATGTAATTAATTTGAAAGTTTACATAGCTTCTCTATAGCATGGCTAGAACAGGAAATTGTGAAATGTGGTAATTTAAAGAATGCTATTGTACTTTTCATCCCACAACCCAAGTCATGCCTCACTGTTTTTATAAAGGCGATTCTGAATGATCTAGAGTGGAAATGCCCTCGACTAAAACATATTATATTGACGATGATAATGACGATATAAGAGAATAGTAAATATGGAAAATAACGTTATACAAAACGAACTCAAAAGCAAACAACTGAAATGCACCGCCATCCTGCCACTCTTTCATATATAGCTGACATGAACTTTAAATTTTAAAATTAATGATACTAATACTAGCTGGATAGGAAAAAGTGAAAAATCTTAAACTTGCAGAAAAGGGAAACTTTTCTTTAAATTAAGGAAAGGGAAAATACTCAAAACAAGTATATAACACGGTAATAACACGGTAATTTATTGTAAAATATCACAAATTGTTATTTTGGAAACATACATAAAACTAAATATTTTAAATGTATACACATAGGTTAATATTTTATATAGAGTACCAAGTAATTCTATGATTATTCTTTTCTTTTCACAAACATTTTCCTGAAATTTCCATGTCTCAACATAAGTTTTCCAATTGTTCATATTAAAATCGACTTTCTACTACATCTTTAACATTGAATAAAATTTTGTCTTAGTAATTTTCAAGTATGATAAAACTGAATGGAGTTATGTTTTTATTTATTTACAACAGACAATACATGATAATAACATATGTCAACATATCATAGGAGATAGACACTGCACTCTACTTGACTCCAATACAACTAACGGCTTCTTAAAAGGATATTTAACATTGAATAGTCTGCAAAAGAAACAAACATTTCATATCAAAGGAGATTCAACCTGCAACAATTGTTCTTCCAGTTGCTAAGTTTGTTTATCTGTGCATTTGTACGGGTTGTCCTGTTTTGTTCATACGCTGCACTATTTACATCTAGCAGGAAATATTTACTTACAAAACATACAATGTGTGAGCTAAAATCGTTAGCATCAAGCATTTAATAAAAACATTTATGTGTGAAACGTCTACGGGCAGACATGTTTTTAATTCACTTTTAAAATAAACAACTACATTTGTTTCAAGAAAAGCTTCCTTAATTAAAAGTCTTTTGCAATCATTTCACTGTTCATTTCAGATTTTCACGACACATTCATTCCATTGTCTTAAATTATTTAAGGCAACCAAAAACATGTAACAACAGAGTCCATTGAATGGGTGCAACTATGACCGCCAATAGGGAACTCCCTTTCACAATCAAATAAATCTGATTCGGTACCCTTGCAATGAAGATTTGACAGCCAAATCTGACCAGATCCAGGAAGAGTTATGTATGCTCGTACACCTCTAGCAAATCCAGCTGATCTGCATGCTACGTTTCCGTCCTCATGGGAAAATGTCATGTAACATACAGTTCCCCAGAAGTTGTTATATCTAACTTCGATGCGACCAGTGACACCGATTTCCGAAACTACTGCGTCTGCTATACGGCTATTTCTATTGCCGCAATGGAAAGTAACTCTCTTGTCTGGGCGGGCGCTGATATTAAAGCATTTATTGTCATTATCATCTTCTACGTCCGGTTCATTGGTATCCACCAGCTTGAAACAGCCACCCCCGACTTTGTTTTCAGGATCCTTTTGAGGTTTGGGAAATGCTAACAGTTTTTCTGATATTATGGATTGGCCTTTCAGAACTTCATTTAAAACTGATTCAGTCTTCGTTAGAATATCCATATCCCCTACTGACGGTATTTTGTTTGTATCATTTTGGTTATTTTCTGCACAAGAGGCAAGTTTTTCTATGTTTGATTTCAAATCTTCACTTAGCTCACATTTCTTGTGTGGCTCATCTGAACTTGTAACCTCTTTAGATATTGTAGTAGACTCACTGGCTGATAATGTTTCATGAATAAGGTCAGACAGACTTTTGAACTGTTCTTCAATATTCTGAATGCCCTTGGTTATAACTTTGATACCTTCAGCATTATTTCTTATACCTTCTTTCATCATTTCGATATCCTGAAAAACAGATATCGAACACATAATGGCTTTGTCTCAAATTTGTAAGTAAACATCAAAGATAAAATATTTGTGAATTTGCCTATGTTTTTCCAAATTGGACCTCAAATTTTGTTTAAAGTTCAACGTCAATTGTCCATCTGTCTGGGTGAAAGCTAGGCATTTAGGCAATGTTGTGCATTAAGGCTTTAGATTATAGAATGAAGGCATAATTTACAAATTAAAACACAATCCACTCCCTTATTATACTCCGCAGTATCATTCAATATTTCCAACAAACAAAAACAAATAAAAACAACAAAGCATTAAAAAAAATGATAACGATCAGTTATATTATTTTTTTCGACAAGGGAAACCAAAACAAGGAAACTTTTAACTTACAATTATTATTGTAATTATTTATTATTATATTATGATCCTCAATCTCTTAAAGCTATAATTTGTTGTAGAGCAAATGGAAGAATCACCCGGAGCTAAACCAGATTCTTAGCTTTCAGTTAGAAATAAGTCTTGCACAATGACGAAGATTTAACCATTAAATCAATGTCTACTTGGCCTTTGTGTTATGCATCGTTAAAGGTTTAGGTTATTGTTCTTAGTTCGTTACCACGATTCAATTAGAACTTCGACATATTATAAATGTAAAGCGTAAATTAAATATATTAGAAATGTACAAGGTTTAAGAACAAATACGTAACCATTTTGGAATACTGGGATAATAACTTTTTATCTTTAAAAGATTAAATCAGTGATCTAAATTTACATAAGCTTCTTTTTACCTGCTCTGTCACTGTTGGCATTTCCTGTAACTGCTGTTTTAGCTCCAATGGACTAAGCCTGTCACATGACACAAATACAATGCACAGCTGCAGGATGACGATGTTTGCAATGTTCATGGTTGAAACACCTTACAGTTTGTTTGTACTTCAACTGTAACGATGACGTAGATTCTTAAACAATATTCAAAATCATTTACACTCTGCTTACACTATTCAGGATTTTTTGTCAACATAGCAGTGTACGAGGGCTGTCCTAAAAGGCATTTTATTAGTAACAGTGTCTGGCTTAACGAATGGATTCAGAGAAAACATAAATGTTTTGCAATTGGTGGCAATCATTTGAAGAAGATGAATCCTTCACATACACCATGAGCGGGTAAAGAGTTGTTTGACGTCAAGGAACTAAATCCAATTCCGCGAACTTCAAGGAAAACTATAATTTCTTTTCTCGGTCACGATTAGCTTAGACGAGAGGCAATAAATTTTATTAACATAAATCGCATGATTACAAGTGCTTTCAAGTACACATGCCTTTTTGTTATAGCTTAGATGATAAAACTATATGCTTTATGCTATTCGACACCCGCAGCTGTTTCATTTTAATAATGTGAAAAAAACAACAACAAACGTTGGCTTATGTTTATCATTAAGAGTTTTATAGAATATTTGATTTATTAAAATGTGTTCTGCCTATTTCTTTTACTTTATCATTTTTGTTTTTCAGAATTTAATGAAACAACTTCCAGACGGCGTAAAACCCGATATAACGCTCAGACTTTCGGCGTCATTTGTATTACCAAACTGTTTGCAAAAGAGGTGATCGATCTGTTCAAAATAATTAGCCTGGTGGCAAGGATACTGAATGCAGGGACACTGGCATCTGAAATATGATGATACAAATAATACTTTGTAACATCTGGAGTTTAACCGGAAATCATAAATCATTCAAACTTATTGTTTGTACTTATCATATTACTTGGATAATATTTTCCAAGCTCTCAAGTTGGAATTTAAGTAAGTAAATAAAAGTTAGATAATAATGTATTTTACGGATACTGTTGTAAATGTGATAAAGGTGAACATACTCGTATGATAAGCAGGAGGAGAATACAAGGAATCATGCGTCTAAAAATGTCACGTAACCAGCACCACTCGAGGAGTTTGTGGAAATATATCGAATATTGATTATATAGATTAAAATCAAATGAATAGATTATATTTATAACAACTATGATCCATGTCAGTATTTATATATCATATTGTTTGAAATTGTTGATTGACCAAAATATTTTCAGTGCTGTATATGAAATATAATCACCTTCAAAATTTAAAGATATTCTATGCTCAAATTTGATATTATGAAATATTAGTAATTACTACACAGTCTCTTTGTAATTATAAAATAAACATGTTTTACTTCGCACAAAGTAGATATGTTATGTTTAAAATTCTACACAATATAGGTGGTCACAATATGAATATTGGTGTCATTAAAAAACTGGCAATAATGTGTCAATAGCATGTGAACATAAAAGGGTTAATTTACCTAATAAAAGTATGATTAATCAACCTTGATTAATTAAAATGCCACCAAGTACATCAACAAAACAAGTTAAACTTGCTGTGTGTCATCAAGAACACCGAGAAATAGATAATAGTTTGCTAACCCGAACGGTTATAAGTTTTAGATATACATACCTATATTTAGGTATATTTTACACGTTATTAAATGCAACCAAAGAACATCCAGCATTTGCGCGATGAGACATTGCATTTCTTACAAGCTATAAAGTTCGTATCAAAATGATGTAAATGCATCAGAAAAATCTGCTGCTGCTGCGATTTGATTTCTCGTGACTACCCGTTTACAAACCAAGTAACAATGAATAGGCAAGTAATAAGGTAGGTGCTCACTTAACCGTAACACACACCGTCTTCAGGAAATCCTCCTTTATGATGACCGTATGACCTATTTTCACATCGAAAACCTATCGGTAATAAATCAGAAACCATTTAGGCCTAAATCAGAAACTATTTCGGTTTTAAGCGCTAATTATCTCGACCGAGCTCCGATCTCGCAATTCATAAAAAAGATGCATGTGTTAACAATGCCTGTTTCGGATAAGTTCTTATGAACTTACTTGTTCCATGTTTATATCTATTTATCTATTTCAATTGTGCTGATAATTCAACATTCCCTTCTGTCGTTGCCAACTTATACAGAGTATAAGCGCAAATAAATGATAAATTGAGAACGGACTATTTTTGTACAAGTTAAATAATAAAACAATAACCTGCCAGACGAAACTACACCGATAAATATTAATTACAGTAGAACCCCTCACCTTGTATAATAAAAAGTGAGTAGCCTTTTGCCAACAGAATAGAGACTGGTTAGCCTATTCATCTGTACATCTAACTTTAAACTCTTATCTTAATATCCTTAAGTTGATATCACAAATTTCTAGAATTAAAGCTGGACATTGAAGACAGTCAGCAAGTTAAAGTGAAATAACACGACAAAGTCACAGCAAATCGCACGGACTTGTAAACAGATAGGATAAACTACCCCGAGCCTAGCTCTCCTTTGTCTGAAGTCAACTTGCCCTTCAAATTGTCTATAGAGAAAAATAATATGAAAGATATGCTCAATCCTTACATAACACAAAATGTGTGTTCCTTTGTCATGAAAAACGTCTTTGACCCTAAACAGTGAGATAAAATTTCGAGCACAATTTAGTGATGCATTTAAATCTTTGACACATAGAAAGAATAGTCCCCAGGGAATATTCTTACTATAATGTAGAAGGAAACTGGCATTAACGACAAAATTACGTAAGAACGCCTGATTTTTGCATGTTTTTGTTGTTTTTTCCCCCAAATATGCATGACTGTGGGCGTCATGTCAAATATTTAACAATAAAGACAATTTGATCCATCTTTACATCGTTATCATAAGGATCAACACAATATACATATTTTTTCTGATTTCTGATAAATGGCATGTGCTTTTACAATGTGCTTTACTTTTTATAATACATATACATGTTAATGTTTACAGCTGTTCAAGCCCTCCCACCAAACTTCTATTAAGGTTGAAAAAATATGTTTTGCAATGGTTATACATATAGAATAAACTTTCTTTTCCCCAGCTTTTCAACAAAAAATTACATAGAGATATTGAGCAAAATGTAAGCTTTTATAGAGATCAAATGGTCTCTAATTTTCATTACAGAAACATAATTGATAAACAAAGAATTCGAACCAGCAAATAAAGACATATGACACAATTTTCTCCTTATTGAAATAAGTCTACAAATAAATAAATAAATAAATAGAAAAAAAAAGAATCAGATAATGTAACTCGGAATAACTCGTCCTGTACACATGGGATTTAAGTGCGTCTTTATGCTTTTGCAGGAAAAAAGCTGCACTAACCCTCAATTAAAAGAACCATTAAATACGATTGAAAATGAATTCTTTTTTAAACAAAAGTATCTCTATAACGTACTATTTACCTGGTAAATATTAATTTTAATATAAGGTAAAAAATATATTCCATTATATAAATAAATACCTGTTTAATATATATCTGCAAAATACAAATTGTTTACTCCTAAACGTTCCGTAACGCTATTACCTGCTTCAGAAAATAAATTGTTCTCCTTAAATGCGCATGCGTCAATCAGTTTAAGAGATGTTTTTCACAACAAACCTTGAACTAAAGCATTCAAGTTTGAAATAGTCGATGTGTTATTTTGGTCTAATAATTTTAGCGAACACTTCCGTTCTTGCAAAGAATAGCAAAAGCAACTAAATCGTATCATGTGGTCGATATTATTTAATTTTACCTGGCCATTGGTTTTATATTTTATGCTTTTGAAATATCTTATTGTGCATATTAATTATATGAAAAAAATCTGGAAGGGTAATAAATATCGTCATTCGAACGTTTCAAAAACATGTACTGACATAGTTACACGAACTTTTATAAGCTTTAGGAATTAATGATAAATGCGTAATGTAAGCGTGAAATATCAAGGTAACCACGCTAAACGTACATTATTTATGCAAATCATGCTAAGTGCGCAACATTTCAGTATACTTGTACAATTCTTCATACACAACGATAGTACTTAATCTATAGGCAAACTCACTAGATATTTATTTTTTAAATTTACATGCTAAGCGTTTAATATGAGGCTATACATGCAAAGCAAACACTATTTAGGTACATCATGCAAAGTGTACACTTTTCAGATTTCAAGCAACTGCACTCGCTTATATACATGCTAAGTGCGCAATATCAAGCTATACATGTCAAGTGTACACTATTTAGGTTCACCATACTAAGCGTTCATTATTTAGGTAATTTTGCTAAATGTACACTATTTAGATATACATGATAAGCGTGCAATATTTAGCTATACAGGCTAAGCGTACAATATTTAGGTACATCATTCAAAGCGTATGATATTTAGCTATACATACGAAGCGTACACTATTAAGGTATACCATGCTTAGCGTTCATTTCTTTCGTATACTTGCCTGGTGAACACTATTAAGATATATGCTTAATGTATAATTCATTTATCCACAAGAAATTATGACTGCCCAAATTATAAAGAACCGGGATGGTAATCTCGTGACAATTGTTTACGTCATCACTTGTATCTTTTAATATTTGAATAATAAACAATTAGCTAGCTCCCGGTGCTATTTACTGAATTCAGTGGTATATGATCTTGGCCTTGTCCCGATAATCTTGCAGAAACTTTCCAATGCGGCAATATTTTGATGAAAATATGTTTCACAATTTCTGCAGGCATATCGGGAAAACTACAAGAGCTAATATGGAAAATATTTTCCATTGGAATAGGAATGCATTTTTTCTGAACACGGATTATGTATAAAATATTAAAAGATACGACGCAGTAATTAACAAAAGCCATTCGCGGGACCCAAATGTTGCTCTAAACAAAGGTAATATGATCACCCTACCTGAAAGAAGTAGATCATATTTTGAACTACCTTCAGCGGATATCAAGGGGGGTTTCCCGAATAATTTACAAGTACGCATTGCTTATTCAGCGGGTATGGAAGGGGGTTTCCTGGATCATTAACAATTAGGTCGTGTTTCAAAACTTGCATTCGTAAGCAGTCACTTTCATGAATAGCTTTACTCGGATGTTTTGATAAAGTATGAGAAACATTTGTTAAATCGTTCTTCTAGATATATATTTGTTTACATGTATTTACATACGCTTCGTTTGCAGCAATAGAAACACATGACATTTTATTATGAATTAAGCAAAAACAAATTGCTAGTTTTGATAGAAAAGAAAATATAGAACATGTTTGCACTATTTACTTTGCAGAAACATAGGACTGTTTGCCACAAAATCAAGAAAACAAAGTTTCAAAACAACGTTTAATGTGCAACAGAACGGTTTAAATGCAATATGGTGACAATGCAAAACGATGACAATTTAAGTTGAAGGTAACGTTACATGAATGCAATTCAACATGATGTAGGCAATACGCGAAGCATAAACTGAAGGAAACGCAGACGAAGTTAATGCAAGATGAAGGGAATACTTTCGCAATGCAACATGAAACTAAATTACCATATTGGTCAGTCAAGTAACATGATGATTATGTTAGATAGCCGTAACGACAGACAATGGTCATTTAACAAGGAGATAAATGCAATATCATTATAATGCTAAGAGGATCAGATGAAAACGGTGCCCTTAAATATTATAAATGTAAAGCAACAATATCATAATTATATTCTCCCGGCACAAATTAGTATAAAAAAACAACATATGATCATTTAATATCCCAATACTTAGTACGGGTACATGAACGATGATTTTAAGCTATTATCAAAACTTTACAATATGTAAAACACATGTATACAATGTACAATAATATTATCTGGTGCTGAATTTTATCAAACTGAGCAATGCACATTAGCTGGGGAAGGATTTGTCATGAAAATCATACAAGAAAAAATATTTCTTAAAAAATATCAACTCACATTGTGAACATGTGCTTGCAAAAAATCTTAAATTCCTTGCAAATGCTTAATAAATGTCTATTAAGACATAAACGTTTCATTTATTAGCATAAAAATTTATTTTTACTAGAAATCTGTCAAAGAGAATTAAAGTATACATGGTATCATGAGGATTCAATTTGTAGGCATATGTAAAATGTGATTAAAGTACGAAAACTGTGATTTGTGGTAAATTATCTTCATGAAAGTGTTAAGCCAAAGGTAAATTTGTTTAACGTTCAGAAGTATAGCTGTTTTGTTTAAGTATATATGTGTAATGTACATTGTAAATATCATACTTTGTATGCTTGACTAGGATATTTCATCCCTTAACAAGCCGACGTATAAGTGACCCAGGGTAAGATCAAAAGTGTATAATTTTTCGGTTGTCTTGTTTATTGTTACATGTCAATTGTGATGACACTGTTTGTGTCCCTGCTTTTTATTTGTAGTTAACGGAAAGTATCCTCTTTCCAATCGTTTTTCTAGTTTTGCCTTCTCTTTTTCATCCTTTCCCTTGTTCTTCAAATTTTGCCTACCTTCCTGCATTTTTATGTCGCAAGGAGATCCATATTGTTTTTCAATTTATGTACGTTCACCTGAATTCAGCAGTTCTTAGCACAACTATCTACAAAATTTCTTTATTCATCATCATCACCATCACCACCACCACCATCACCATCAGAATTATTAATCTTATTATGTAATCATTAATGACCTTGATTGTACTATATTTTTGAAGGCCATCTAAAATGATCTCAGAGGCTCATCTTTTACAAACATCATTGTAACTATTCAAATATGCATGTTTATTGACTCTAACCAACACTTGCAAGACAGAAACCATAGAGTGCCATATTCAAGAATTCCATCAGTCCATTGTATGGTCCATTAAGAGCTTTTCAATTCATAAACAAATGTTTCCTCAAGAAGAATAAAAGAAATTGATTTCTGAGGCGTATACGCATATATACTAATTTAAAGCTTTATTGTTAAACACGTTAGATCATTTTAGTCACTTGAGGGTCTGCTCGTTAGAAATAAGAAGTACTTATGTACAAGGTAGTACGAGGAATCATTACTTTGACACGGCTATGCTTCTTATGTGTCTATTTTACCAGCATTCGTTTTTCCAAGGGGAAAAATAAGCTTAAAAACAATTATCAATTACTATACTAATATAGGTCGGAATTGAATAAAAACATAAATTATTCCTAAACAATACTTGTTTCATGTGAAAAAAAACTCAACTAGATATGTCATGGTTATTCAAATTTGGCAAACATGCAAAGAGTGTGCGCAACATTAAATGTTAAATTTTAAAGTATATACGAGGAGTGTTCAAATATGAATGCAACTGGGTCAATTTTCAGAAGTGCTTAACAAATAGTGCCAAAATATTTACGTCAATCCTTCAAAATATTCACCACCATGTGATATACAAAGCTTTTGTCTTTTAATCCATTTTTAAATGCGTTTTTATAATCTTTTCGATGTATACTGTTCAGACACTGGAAAATAGCCAAACCGAGATTTTTTTCGCGTTTGATGTTTTCTTCCAGCAAGGTGTTTTTGGAGCCTAGGCAATAGGAAAAAGTCACAAGGGACACTTTCTGGCTAATAAGGACGGTGAGGAAGCTTTAAAAGCTTTTCCTGTTTCAGATATTCTCGTACAATGACCGCTTTGTGTGACGAAGCATTGTCATGCAAAAACCCGACACTAAGGAGACCAGGTGCTGGTCGACGGTTTTTGAAATATTTCTTTAATTTATGAAGGACCTTGCCTTTGTAAAACTTGGCATTTACAGATTAACCCCTATTGTACGGTAATTTGAATAGCAGGACCCTGACTGTTAAAGACAATTACATACATGCCATTTTTGACGCTCATTGTGCGTTTTGATATGCAAGGTCTTGACTTTCTTTGGTTGCCCATATTTTGTGATGTATCTTTCGCTTTGGCTCATAGAAGGGAACCCACGTCTCATCGCCAGTGATTATGTTTGCGACAGATCGAATGTCGTGTTTAGGGAACTGTTTAATCAATTGTTCGAGTAAGCTTTTGCTCTTTTGTAAGGAGATGGGATATCCATCTGGCACTTATCCTTCTGATATTCTATTACACGTCTGAAAATTGCAAGAGCGGCTCCTACAGATATACCAACGCATTTAGCTTCATATCTAATTGTAAATCTTGCATCAGTAGCAATATAAAATCGTTCACTCTTCCAAACATTTTTGGCGAATATGCATTTTTCAGAATGCATGCATTAGATGCATCCTTTTACTGAATCCACACCACTTTTAGATTTCTTACACCATCGTATGACAGATAAAAAAGAGCTCATTGTTCCCATAAACACGACATATTTTATTAAATATGTATTTCGCCTGTATACCAAGAATACAGCGGTTCTTGATATAGGACTATATTTGGTTAGTGAAAGGAGACCTTTTCCAAACCATTTTAGCTTTACTTTTTACGAGTAGAAAACGTTTATCGAGCTACTGTTAAAGCTAGACTGAACTGAATTACACTTATATCAATCGAGAGCTTACACAACCATTTACAAAAACAAGTTTTTAAGTTTTTGACAGTTTAAGTCAGTTCTCAAATGTTTACCATTTTTATTTTTGACAAACAAATCTGTTACTGTCTCTGAAATTGAATTGAATTAGTTTGCCA